AGAGGCTTTGGGATGCGTCTAGGCAATGCAGTGTAGCCATTCACTGTGGAGAGAGGAGTCAGTGACTGCTATTACTAGGTTGTCGTGCACGGGTGACTTATAAGTTATAACCTAGTTACTTGCAGTGACAGTATCGGTAGGACTAGTAAGTATGCTGGCATAACCTGTACAGGCAAACAGTAGAAATAGCATGGAACATGACCAGGTACAAGTGCACAGCGAACATACTGAGGCGCGCTGTCGAAAAGCACGATGGAAGTGGTTGACCTGGAATGTTCTGTTGGGGACTGCCAGCTACACTTGGTTGAACGCAGCTCACTTCCCCGGTGTAAACACTGTAAGCCAACACACACAAATACATGACCTGTCTCAGCACCAAAGGAAACATCTGCCAGGCACAGAACGCGTTCACGCAGAAGATCTGTGATGGCGTGATACTTCTATGTACTATGGAAGGCTATGCACACATATCCTGATGTAGACTATCTTACAGTATGTTTTACATGGAAGCTACCTTGCTTGGACCAACAGTGTACAATCATGCACAACACACAGCCATGAAAAACTTACAAGTAACTACCTGACACTTGACTAACATTCACACTTGAAACATACTTAGGGAAATCAAACAGGCCTTACCGTGACCAGAAATCCATGGAAAGCTGATGTTCAGCAGTTATTCCGCGATCTCGTGGGAGGGGTTGTCAACATCATCAGTTTGACCATCTTCATCATCAGCACTGTCTTCATTGTCTCCATGAAGTGTAGGTGCTGCAAGCACTTCGGACACAGCATTGTGCGGATTCGCGCAGGAACTGCATTGGCATGCATCGGTGCAAGAAATGGAGGACTGTAGGCATGAGCACCGGCGCGTTGAACATCCAGTGGCGCAGGCACACCGGATGATCGCCATCAGCTCTGGTGGTGCAGGAGGAAGAAGACCCCACATGATCATGACATTAGAGTTGTCTACCCTCCATCCATGATCACTGATGCTGGGTAGGTCTGGGGATGCGACCAGTGCCCGTTTCCACACACCAGCCTGGTAGTTGGCCCGTTTGACGTGCTGCTCCAAGCTATCGGCGCATGGTGGGAGCTGAGCAGGGGGTGGGGACCGAGAGCAGAACGCCTTGTACCTGGCCTTGTTGATGCTCTCGAGTTCAGGGTGACCGTAAAGGTGGCAGACATACTTCTCCACTTCCTTCTGGAGGTTGACTGGCAGCACGCAATTGTCGCCCATGTGTGCTAACGCAATCTGGTGGCTTTGCTTGCTCTTAAGGACTTTCCACGCCTTCTTCTTTCCTATTCGGTAGAAGGAGCTGGTGCTGTCGCAGCCAGTGACCGCATGGAGGCCAAGCAAAGCTGAACACACCTGTGCTCCCAGCTTTTCAGCGACAGCAGAGATGTCCACGATGCGTGAGGCTGCCCGTCTGCCAGTCTCAAACAGCAATCGGGCTGGAATACTGGACGCTAGAGCAATGCACAAAACGAGGACGTCGGTGTCGGGTGACCGAATGACCACTGCCGAGTAGTCTGCACTTGCATGGTAGGCATGAAGCAGCATCCGCGTGTCGGCCTCCTCCTGTGTTGACCGGAGGTTTGGCACCTCTTCATACGCTACGTGGTCACCGTTGGCCTTCAGGAGGTAGGCCATGTCCCGGACTGTTATGACAACGCATCCCCCTTGCAGCAGCTGTGCGCACTCTGCAGATTTCCAGTGGTTGAAGAGGAACTGCATGAGCTCCTCCTTGTTGGCACCATTTTTCATGAACAATTTCCAGTTCCTTGGACATGGCTGGTCAGGCCGCAGAATTCTGGTGCGCACAGAGCCACCCGATGCACGCCGGCCTCTCTCAGCAGCCTTGATGGAGACATCCGGGTACCGATCGCCGACGAAGTCGACGCGCCAAGTTGTAGCCGCGCACTGCTTGCCTGCATCTGTGGCCTTTGCGAGGAGGTGCATGGCCAGTTTATTAAACGTGCGTGGCACGGACACAAGACCTTGTATGGTGGCCATTGCATCCAGCACAACAGCAGCACCCTCCGTAGGACGCGTGGCCAAGCATTGACGATGTTATTGCTCGCACTGAACGATATGCATTGGGTCAGTGGCTCCTTTTTCCCACTTCTTCTTTTTGACAGGTGCTGGCAGAATAGGCACAAATTTAAATCTGTCTGGCTCCCACTGGAACGGGTCCGCTTTTTGGGGGGCTCAACATCTCTTTGCTCAGGCTCGCTGTCATCACTGTCATCATCATCATCATCACCTTCACTGCCTTCGTCGCCACCAACAGCCTCGACGGGCCGGACAGACTCAGCAACGGCTGTCTTCTTCAAAGTCTTTTTGTTTGTGTACCACTTGTAGCAGGCTTTGTGGTATAGAACTTCGCCGCAAGTTTCTCTATCAAGATTTCCGATCGACATCCAAGTGTCATCTCTCTTCGTCTCAGCTGCATTCCATAGGGTAGTCCAGGTAGTCTCCGTCAAGCGCTTGAGAGGCTGATGAGCAGGAAAATTCGGGTTGTGACAAATGCATTTCACTCCTTCACCTGAAGCTTTCGCCAAGGAAACAGTTTCCAGCCCCAAATCGTCTGCCATGTCGGACAAGACCACTAACAACAGGAATCATAAACACTTGCACCTTCTTATCTGCCATCTACCTGTCTAGGTTGTCGGACAGATCGGCAAAGAAACTTAGAGAGGCCATGCGATCGGCATTGGATGAAAGCAAAAACACAATTGTCGAACCAGTCAAGTAAGTTTGAAATTTAGTCGTGGGCGGACGTCATCATCCTTTTCACTTGCGCAGAATTCGCATATGCGTGTTTTGAGCATGTGCTTAATTTGCACAGTGTTCGTCTTCGTATTCAAACAAGTCGCCGTAACTCCCTTCAGCCCCAACCCAGAAAAGGCACCCAAGCGCGAAATTGTTTGCCCTGCCGATCTCCAACACGGCCAACCACCCACGAAATGTTGGACTCAAATCGACACAGGAAATCAGAAACGAGCACTTTTTGAGAAACCGGCCAACTGACTAATAGGGCATGGGTGGTGTCGAAGGGCTTTCCACAGGTGCAGTGAGACGGCAACCGGGGAGGGGTCCAGCCGTAGCGCAGACATAGGGCATCCCGGAAGCCAGCCTTGTGGATGGTAAACTGGAACCGGCGAGATGGCCGACTAGTGAGCCAACTGGAGGCACCTTTCTCTGCGGCTAGATCCAGAGTCCGCCTGTGGTCGTCACTCAGGGTATCCCTGAGGGAGGAGAGGGCCATTGCCTAATCTTGGCGATTAGCTGTGCGTTGGGCCGCCTTGGCTGCCTTGGTGGCAGCAACAACTTCCTCGATGGATTCCTCCTGTCGAAGGAGCTGCTCGACTAGAGGTCTGGTGACAGCCGTAGACATCACCTGCTCAGGTATTCAAATTTGTGCGGCTTTGAGCAGCGCATGGGGTGCGTGTTGTTCGAACCTCGAAATCAAAAGTCGACGATTTCGCGAGGTTGTGCACAGCTCCGCGATGGCCAACTACACAGGTACCAAAGGGGCTGCCTACCAGCATACAAACTTTCAGCTTGTCAGCATAAAAAGGAAACGTAAAACAGGCTTTTGAAAATCGGCAGTCAGACTAATACCGTATTTTTCGGAGTATAGTGCGCGCCTTTGTATAACGCGCACCCCCAATCTTCATCGGGGGTGCGCACTTCAATCTTCATTGAAGTACAATCATGCATTTCATATTCGGAGCATACTGCTTAGTGCGCATCTGCGATTTAGGGCCTAAAATAGTACATCTAAAGTGCGCGCACTCCGGAAAATACGGTAGATGTATGGTACATGTATTATAATTATTATGGTTGTATACATGTAGTCAGGAGCACGCCTTGTATTAAAGGGGAAGTATACCCTAAAATCAAATTTTCACCAGTTGTAGTCTTCTGGGTGCTGAGTCGAATGGTCTTGGTCCGAGGAAGCTGCGACGCTCCCTTCCTACTTGAATCCCAATCGAACTCGCGCACTTCCACCGAAACTGGGTGACTGCGCCCTACTAGATGGGGATTTGTATGCAAAATGTCACTAAAAGCGCCATTTCGTTCTTATAAAAGTACGGATGACCGCGATTGGCCCATATGTTGTAGTCTTTTGGACGCTGAGTCGACTGGTTTTGGTCCGAAAAGGCTGCGATGCAGCGTTCCTCCTTTATTCCCAATCGAACATGGTTGAACAAGCGGTCACGTGCTCCTGGGTGCCCAAATCACCTGGTCACCACGCCAGCAGGTGACAACTTTCACACCAAGGTTCAACTCGAGTTCAACTCGAGTGACATGACTGCACCCAAAAAAGGTCAAACAGGCTAGTAAGTTGTACCCTGCAGGCACGGTGACCAGCTGACTGGTGTACGCAGGAGCACGTGACCGCTTGTTCAACCATGTTCGATTGGGAATAAAGGAGGAACGCTGCATCGCAGCCTTTTCGGACCAAAACCAGTCGACTCAGCGTCCAAAAGACTACAACATATGGGCCAATCGCGGTCATCCGTGCTTTTATAAGAACGAAATGGCGCTTTTAGTGACATTTTGCATACAAATCCCCATCTAGTAGGGCGCAGTCACCCAGTTTCGGTGGAAGTGCGCGAGTTCGATTGGGATTCAAGTAGGAAGGGAGCGTCGCAGCTTCCTCGGACCAAGACCATTCGACTCAGCACCCAGAAGACTACAACTGGTGAAAATTTGATTTTAGGGTATACTTCCCCTTTAAACATGCTGTCAAAATCGAACAACATGTACGTAGACTACATGCCAGTCCGGGCGTCAGCACGTAGCACTCCAATCTCCATCCATGTCGACTGTCCAGCTCTCTTTTGCACTTTCTTTTTTCTTTTGAAAAAAGAGTTCTGACATTATATCTGCACTGTAAAAAAAATGAAAAATCAGGAAATCCTGGGAGCTGATTTGGACGTAATCATGGCAGTGTTCTCGCTTCGTTTCCACAGCAAGTATTGAAGTAGCCAGCCAAGCCAGCAAGGACGGAGGAGGAATTTTTGACCATTGCCATTGGCAAATAATTCGCATTGGTAATCGATCAAAATAGACCCTCATAAATCTTGAGCACAGCATGGAATGACCGGCGACATTTCCATTCAAAGGACGAGGTACGTTGTAGTTGTCAGCTAGCGCAGGACATTAGTATTTTAGTGGTTTCTTTCCTCGTGACCCTCACTAGGCCTCAGGCTTCAAATTATCACGGAATGGGCCGGCCGGCTGACGTGACGAGCCTCTGACGGCGGGTTCCAACTAACTAATTACTTACTAGGCTCTTCGTCGCAGCAGTGTGGCATCTTCCAAACGGACGAAACCGCCTTGTTTTCTGAGTTGCGGAGTTGCGCGGTTCTTGCTCAGGACAGGGCCGGCCCGCGAGCTGCACGAGGAGCCGCCACAGCATCACAGGGGGTGGGCGAACAGGGATTAGTAGATCTACTGTGTAGTCTGCTGCTGACTCGACCACGCTGCTCGCCACGGTGGATGTCGCACTGGGAGTGAGAGAAGCGAACTCGGATTCGGACGATGGGAGCTCGCCAGTCGTTCCCGACAGTGGACCTGCGTGGTCGTGTTGCAATCGTAACCGGTGCTAACTCCGGTACGGGCTATGAGACTACGAAAGCCCTGGCCAGGATGGGGGCCAAGGTCATCATGGCCTGCAGATCACAGAGCAGAGTAGAGCAGGTAAGAGCTGTGTCAAGTACAGTCGACCTACCCTTATAACGATATTTGCGTCACACCAAGAAATATTGTTATAAGGGTAATATTGTTATAGGGGTAACTGGTTCATTTCATACACATACGTCATAATGCATGAATTCTGTTCATTTTTTACACTCTTCATAGCATAAAAAACTGACGTACATGCACATTATGTGCACAGCAAGGTGCCCACTGGTGCCCCCATTGCATTTCGTCATGTCCCAGTGACTTATCAAGTGAAGCTTGCCCTACCTGGATATTGGTCTCTACATGCTGCCTGCTAGATATTGTTATAAAATGGAAAATGTCGATTGGTCAGCCCATTTTATATCGTTATAGGGGTAATATCGTTATAGCAATATTGTTATAGAGGTAAGGCATTGTATACACAAGTCAATGGAGTGATTTGGTTTGACAGAAAAATATCGTTATAAGGGTAATATCGTTACAGGGGTTATCGTTATAAGGGTAGGTTGACTGTAAAAGGATGACCTGCTCCCATATGCATGTACATGTACCTGTAGGGGACTACCCCTGAGATTGAGATTGAGTAGGGGACTGCCCCCATGATTTGCAGCTTGCTGAAGGCCACTTGGACTCCCGCAAATGCCAATGGCAGAGTTTCATGCCAGGTGACTAACCCTAAAATCTTGTACAAGAGCCGCACTTGAATAGAAGCCGCCCTGGAGTAGAAGCCGCACTTTTGGAAATGTTTTAAATCGCAGGCCGCATGCGTAAGCCGGTCCTTGTATAGCAGCCGCTGCTTCAAAATGCAGCACTACGCTCACTCCTAGTCCTACTGTCGTGGACATGGAAATCCGGCCGCACGTCTAGCGGCCCCAGGGCGCTGGCCATGCAGCTGTGGACAAGCGGTACACACATGCATTTATGCCCTGTAGGGCGCTGCATGGTTGGATTAACATGTGCACTGCAGTCTGCATGCAGCGTTCTGTACGCGCTGCGGGCGCCGGCCCCGGTCAATCGACCGCATTTCCATGTCCACGACAGTAGATCAGTATGATCATACAGGCTCTTATATTTCTAAGTATTACAAAATAATTGAGAGGCTTTGAATCGTTTTTATCAAAATCTAAATATTTGCCGGGTTGGAAGGTGGGGAGTATGAAAAAAAATTTTAAATCATAGAGGCTACGCTACAGCCATTGTGGCATGTGTAAGGCGTGTGCAGGTGAACTTGTGATGTAGATCAGATATCAACGGAGGAAATGTGTAGAAAACATGCGTAAACAACAAACCCCGGATGGTGTTGAAAAGGTTGTGCCGACGGTAGCCAGAACACCACTGCATGTATTGAGGGTTCACTGTAGCAACAGAAGGAGACCATGTGACCAAACAATGGGTGCATATCTGATCATCATTTTGCAACAGAAGCTTCTTTGTAATTTACACTCATACCTCGATTATCCAGACCCCAAAGTTACGGGCACTTCAGTCTACCGGGCAGGCAGGCACCCTTTGGGCGAGTTGCAGTGGAAATATTACTACTCTTTTGTCACTTTTTGTGGAAGTAGTGACGTCATAATTATGCCATATCTATGGCCTTTCCCCATACAAATGTTTGTGATTCGGAGTTACGGACATTTCAAATTTACGTGCACTGCTCGCCGGCTCGGTCCCGGACCGCCCGGATACACGAGGTTTGAGTGTATTGTGTGTAATGCTGATGTTCTTGTCACAATATAGGCAATGGAGAGAATGCGGAAAGAGCTGCCAGGTCAAACGCTGGACGTGGCGTATGTCAAGCTAGACCTGGCATCCATGTCCTCCACCGTACAATGTGCTGAGCAGTTCATGAGTGAGCATGATCACCTGCACATACTCTGCTGCAATGCGGGCATCATCGGACACCAATTCGGTGAGTCACTGAGTGCTTACTAGGTGTTGTGAACCCTCTAAGATTCTCTAAATTGTCAGGATCGTACGACCACACGGCACGAGGACAACTCTTTCCTTTACACAGTATATTTCACTCCATCGAATAATTAACAATGAACACTAATAACACCAGCTATTTATAGCATGCAGAAACAGCGTACATGCAAAACATAAGCATATAAAACTGGACATAACAGCGTATACAGCAAAACGCACACAACGCATATAGCGTATGCCATGCAGCAACATCAGCGGTACGGCGGAGTCGAAATACAACATTTCAACGAATACAATGCCATAAGCGCGAAGGCCTTTCCCAATTGAGAACTGGTGGTTTACAACATTCTCCCCACCAAAGGGCTTCTCACCGCCGTACAACAATGCACACAAGTCAAAAACGATCCGGGGCTCTGACTACGCGCCCAGAACGCGTCATCTCCTGCTGCCGTGGTGGTGGTAACGGTGCTGGCGGTTCATATGCTGGCTGCTGAGGGACGATAGCAGGTTGAGCGGTATCGGCAAGCCCAGGAGCCACGTCCTGTGACGATACTTCTAATGGCACTAACCTTTGGATCGGCCTCAACAGGGTACTGGTACTCAACTTAACCTTGGCAACACGACGCTTGCCATCTCGACCAGGGAATAACTCGATGATCCGTCCCAAACGCCAGAACTGTTTGCGCTTGGTATCATCGAGAACAAAGACAACATCACCCACAGCTAAAGGGCGCGACATGGTCTGTTGGTGTTTGTTCAGCTGACTGAGGTACTCCACCTCCCAACGATTCTTGACATGCTCCAGTGTCCGACTGAGGTAACGCAATCTCGATGACATCTGCGCAGCGTCCAGGGTACCTGCTGGCTTCTCTGACGACATCCAGATGTCACCCATCATCATTGCAGGGGTTACTGGTGGCTCATCCAGGCTATCAGACACATACGTTAGCGGACGACTATTCACCACTGCTTCAACCTCATACAAGAGGGTCTCAAGCTCCTGGACCTTCAGAAACGCTGTTCCCATTACCTTTTTTAAGGCACTCTTCACTGTACCAACCATTCGCTCATAGAAGCCTCCATGCCATGGTGCAGCTGGAGGATTGAACATCCATGGCACACTCAGTTTGTCAGATGCCGCCTTGAACGTTGTAGCGTTGTCAGACCTGATCCGAGACGGCAAACTACGTCTCGCGACAAACTTCCGAAATGCCATCAAGAATGACTCGGTACTTAAACTATCGACCACCTCCAAGTGAACTGCTCTGGTGGTGGCACACACAAACAATGCTATCCATACCTTCGGAGATGACTCACCACGGCGCACGTACAGCGGACCAGCATAGTCGATGCCGGTAGTTGCGAACGGCCTCTCGTGAACAACTCGGTCTTCTGGCAGCGGCGGGCAGACTTCTGAGGCAGCCTTAGCCTTGTAGCGGCGGCATGTAACACATCGCTGAGTAATGTTGCGTAGCGCTCGTCGACCACCGATAATCCAGAATTTCTGACGGATGAACGACAAGACTCCTTCTACACCTTGGTGCATCCTTTCAACATGCTTTTTCTCCAACAGCAACTCGGTCAGATGATGTTTGCCTAACAGGACTGGGTGCTTGGCTCCATACGCCAACTCGCTGTGCTGAAGTCGTCCCCCGGCTCTGAGCACTCCATGCTCATCTAGAAACGGTGCAAGCTGATACACCTTCGACCCGGGCTTCACTGGTTGACCTTGCTTGATCAGCTCAAGATCCTCAGCGAAACATGCGGCTTGAACGATGCGGTACAATACGTTGTCTGCTGCAAAATAGAGTTCAGCACGAGGCTCAGTGTGCTTCCACTGCAACATCCAAGTCACCATGCCCTGTGCCCTCGACCATTTACTGAATCGGAGCCACCATTCCTTATCAGATTCTCGACTACAGGTGGTGGCTGACACTCGTACTTCTACACTGGACTCATCTGTAGCTGCGGTTGAGGATGCGGTGGGCCAGTCATTGGGCTCCGTGATCCAGGTTGGTCCGCCCCTCCAGAACGGACTACGGATCTGCTGTGCACTACTCCCACGCGACGGTAAATCTGCTGGGTTGTGAAGGCCCGGGCAATGGTTCCACACAATGCCGACCTTCTTCGATATCTCTTGGACTTGACTGACGCGGTTAGCCACAAATGTTTTCCATTTGTACGATGGATTACTGATCCAATGAACGGTAGTGAGACTGTCAGTCCAGCCATAGACTTGCGTGACGGTCACACGCAGCTCCTTCACCACAAACTCAGCGTAGCGAGCCGCTAGACATACTGCTTGTAACTCAAGGCGGGCTAACGTGGGCGGAGACACAGGTGCCACTTTGGCCTTGGCAAATACCAAGTGCGACTGTCCATTGACGACTGCATACAAACAACATCCAAACGCTTTCTCACTGGCATCGGCGAAGGCATGAAGCGCAATCGGCGTCTCAAGAGTGCAACAAATCCAACGTGGTATGTCAATGCTCACCACTTCGGCCAACTCTCCCCACCATTGCGCACATGCGGCTGCGATGCCATCAGGCAACTTATCATCCCAGTCGCCTCCGACTTTCCAGGCTTGCTGTAGCAGTATCTTTCCCGGCACAACTGCCGGTGCTGCTAGACCTAGCGGATCAAACACTGATGCAACACACTTGAGGAGGGATCGCCGGGTCCAAACAGACGGCCTATCGGACTCGCCTAGCGCTGCTATGCTGAGCAAGTCATCACTGGTTTTCCATTTCAGACCGAGAACTTTATCTCCGGCCTCTGGATCGCACGGGATTTCGTTGCCTCGCCACTTGCGTAACTCCATGCCAGCATCCGTAAGCACACGCACGCTGAACTCTTGCATCTCCTTAGCTTCCGAGGCATTTGAGACACTAGAGACCAAATCGTCAACGTAGAAACTCGTGAGCAAGAGATCAATACGATCTCGCTCTTTGGGTGCAGACAACGCCCGTAGCTCCTTCAAGTGATGCTGAATCACCGCAGTAAGCATGTACGGCGAGCAGTTTACGCCAAATGGCAGTTTCGTTAGCCTCCAGGTTAACAGTTCATCGCTGTCGCTTCGACCGGGCCACAAGAAACGCAAGTACGGACGGTCTTCGGGATTAACCGCGACCATGAAGAAAGCCTTGCGGATGTCCGCTTGCAGCGCGCTCTTATATTCACGGAACCGTAATAGCATACCTGCGAGACTCGGCAATAGCGACGGTCCAGGGTCAACCATGTCGTTCAACGACTTGCCATCTGGAGCCGTCGCCGAGGCATTGAACACCACTCTTAACTTCGTGGTTGCAGCGTGCTCGCGGAACACACCATGATGCGGTACATAGTACCCGGCATCGCTCTCACATGGCTCCAGCTCAATTGCTCCAAGCTCGCGGTACTCCCTGATCAGCACATCATCATAGAGCGCACGCTTCCCATTCCTCTTCAGCTTTTCAAGAAGCCGCGTTGCGATGACTCTAGCTTGAGCAAAGTTATCCGTTGGCCGACGCTCATTTCGCCACAAGAGACCCACTTGGTACCCGCTGCCCTGGCGACATAGCGGGAAAGATGGCAGGTGCTGATGTTGTTCTGGAGGTTCATCCAACTGCCATAGTTTGTCGATGTGGGCTGTGACACATGACACGGTTACCGGCTGACTGTTTCGACTTGGTGCAGACGCTGGACCAGATAATACATTACCTATCTCTGTGTTCCACACCGTCTCACCATTAACTTCCTTCTTGCTGTGCAGTACCGCGTTGATATAGTCTGCACCAATCAGCATATGTATTTCGTCTGATGTCCCTTGTTGAGGCTTGTCACTCAGCTCTACTCCCCAACTGTGCCACTGCGCAATGGTCTGCGGACTTGCGCACTTCAGGTCCAGCTCAAGCGTTGGTTTCACGAACGCGCGTACCCGAATGCTAGCGGAGCTACCCTGGATCGTGATGGCGTACTTATCCATGCGCTGTTGGGTTGGTTCCGCGCCGAACGGCTTCACCTCTACATTTTCAACCCCAACGTGTTCTGCATCGATTGCTGACACCAAAGCTGCAGTCACGAATGACGCCTCAGCACCCGAGTCCAGGAACACGCGAACCTTCGCGTTTCGAGTTCTTCCCTCAACTCGTGCCACTCCGGTCATCAGCCGCACACTTGGCGAGTGTAGACAGCACGACCCAACATTCTTCTCCGTAACTATCTCAGTCGGTTTCTCCCGGCTGTAACCTGCTCTTTCCAACACATCATGTATTAGCAGGTGGTGTTTCCTCTGGCATTTCGTGCATCTCGAGCCTGACCGACATTCTCTGGCCATATGGCCATACTTAAGGCAGTTCCAGCAGAGTCTCTCTCGCTGCAGAAAACCCTTTCTCCCTTCCAGTGGCAGCGACTTTAGCTGCTTCTCTGCATCTGCGACCGATATCGCCATGCACTGTGCCGACGCCGTGGGCCTTGGCACGGATCGTTCTACTGGCTTCCTGGCAGTATCACCCTGTCGTCCGTGCGCGACCTGGTAAGACGCGCCGTGCTCCTGTACCTGGCGCAGTGACATCCCGTAGCACTGCCGTTCGACCAGGTACGTCTTCATCTCAGGTCCGCATTGCTCCAAGATTACCTGCTTTGCCATTGCTTGCAGCACCGGGGACATTTTTCCTATATCGGCGCTATACTTGGTGTCCACCTCGCCATCTTCTGTCATAGCGAGTGTGGCCCACACCTCTACCTCTCGGCAAACACGGACAACGTATTGATGAAACGACTCATCTGACCGCTGCTTGCCTGTCAGCAATGTCTTCCACGCTTTATCCGGAGTCTTTCCGAGCGAGGCAAGCAACTCTCGTTTTGCTTCCTCGTAATTATTGCATCCAATACATATCCTCTCCGCTTTGCTACCCGCTAGCGCGATGCGCAGTCGCAGCAGCCATTCGCTTTCTTCGAACTCGTTCTTGGAACAGATGTCCTCGAACAGGTCAAGATAACGCTCCAATGGCTGCGTTCCATCATATGAGGGGATTTTCATCACCGGTTGACGCCCACCGCTGTGACTGGGAGATTCCTCTGTACCTCCCATCGTGGCTTTACCCTCACCCTCCTGCGCATTGGCGATGCGCTCGTTAATCTCCTTTAGTGTTTTGGCAAACTCGGTGCGGAGCGCCTCCTCTCGCCGTCTGGCACTGCGCTCCTCACGCTCCGCGTACTGTTGGAGCCTCTGCTCAACATGTACCTTCAACAACTCGCCTTCTAATCCTAACCGCTCTCCATTGTCGATAAAGCTGGCTTCCAAATTGTTCCATAGTTCCTCTGCCATGCTCGCTCCTATCCTGGCGTGGTCGCCAAATGTTGTGAACCCTCTAAGATTCTCTAAATTGTCAGGATCGTACGACCACACGGCACGAGGACAACTCTTTCCTTTACACAGTATATTTCACTCCATCGAATAATTAACAATGAACACTAATAACACCAGCTATTTATAGCATGCAGAAACAGCGTACATGCAAAACATAAGCATATAAAACTGGACATAACAGCGTATACAGCAAAACGCACACAACGCATATAGCGTATGCCATGCAGCAACATCAGCGGTACGGCGGAGTCGAAATACAACATTTCAACGAATACAATGCCATAAGCGCGAAGGCCTTTCCCAATTGAGAACTGGTGGTTTACAACACTAGGCGCGAGTGATGTCGCCATGTTTGTGCCGAGGGGAGAGAGGTATCCACGTGTCTGCGCCGGGGGGGGGGGGGGGGGGGGTGCATGTGTCTGTACCGGGTGACGGCATGCATGTGTCTGTGCCGGGGGGGGGAGACATGCATGTGGTGTCTGTGCCTAGGGCAAGTCAAAAATATGCCCCAGCTAGACAATTTCATGAACGCCGTTTCATCCGCATTCAACGCAGTTAACGTCCAGCCGTAGCCATCAGCCCAGTTTATACGGTATGCTTGCGCTACTTAAGTAATGTCTGACATGTGTGTGTGTGTGTGTGTGTGTGTGTGTGTGTGTGTGTGCGTGTGTGTATGGTGGTGGAGGGGGGGGGGGGGGGGGAGGAGTATGCTCTTGGCTGAGCCCGAATGTCTAGTCACCCTAGTCCTGTGCAGTGGGTTGTAAAAGTACAGTGCTGCTCAATGAAATCCGAACGAGTCACTCGAGTACGCGCCGAGCGTAACGCAGCCCTGGATCTCCAAACACTGTGCTGGGGAATGGTGCAAGGCGCAAACGTGAGTAACACGACTGGATTTCATGGAGCAGCACTGTAGTTGTCCCGTGCACTGCCTGCTACCGTAATTCTCTCCCCGTTCGCCTTTTGTTTCAAATCTTTATTCTCACGATGGCCTCTGGCCAATAAGAGATCAGACATTTGTTTTTTTTGTTGTTCTTGTTGTTGTTGTTGTTGTTGTTGTTGTTGTTGTTGTTGTTGTTGTTGTCGTTGTTGTTGTTGCTGTTGGCTGCAGAGCTGACTGAGGACAAGATAGAGTCCGTATTCCAGGTAAGGACGATAATGGCGGCAGCGTTTTGAGCAGGAGTATATTGTGCGTCAATGCTCTACTTTGTAACGACAGTGACCTGATGCCGTCCCTTCTCTCTCTCTCTCTCTCTCTCTCTCTCTCTCTCTCTCTCTCTCTCTCTCTCTCTCTCTCTCTCTCTCTCTCTCTCTCTCTCTCTCTCTCTTCTCTCTCTTTCTCTCTCTTTCTCTCTCTCTCTCTTTCTCTCTCCCCCCCCCCCTCCCCCTGGAATCACATCTTATCACTCATCTGTGTTTTAGAAGTCTGCTTTCTACTCACCTCCCACCGCTTAGGAGCTGTATCTGCGCCTTGATCCAAGAGGGTGGTGGCGTTCCTGCGAATGCGGAAAACTGGGCCTTTGGCCGAGTCTCACGCGAACCGTGAATTTTTTTTCTTTTTCTAGTGATTGTAAAACATGAATCCAAGTTCCAGTAAATTTAGTCAGTTGTGATGGATACTTCTGTCGTGGGCATTGGAATAACCGGGGCCGGCACCCTTACCACGCTAGCGTGTACATGCACTGTAGTTTGCGTACAAACTGTAAAAACGAACCGGCAGTAAGTACCCAAGGCTGCAAGGCCAGCGCCCTGCGGCCGTTTGACTTCTCAACGGATTTCAATGTCCACAATACAGGTCGTCCCTCGTTAATACATAATCTCTGGGACTTGACAAATGTTATGTATTAACGGGGTTTATGTACTAAACGAAAGTGTACATAACTTGCTTGTGTACCAGAATTTTTTCACTTTTTTCAACTTTTCTCAGCGTTTCTTGCTACCATGACTAGGGAGCGAGATATTCTTGATTCCCTCAATATAACATAAAAATTATGTTATAACGGTCACAGTCGAGTCAGCGAAGATTCTACAGTTTACATGATAGCATGCCAGCCGCGCCTGTATAGTCACTCGGAAAGAAAACAGAGCTTTCTCGGCTTGTGATGTGCGCTCTGATTTCTGAGCTAATTGCGTCCACAAGTAGAAACCAGAACACATGTGCCTCCACTGGAAGGCCGAAAGACCAACAAATTATGTATTATTGAGGTAGGTGGCGTGCGGGTCCGGAGAAATGTTATGTACTAATGGGGTTTATGTACTAACGAATTATGTACTAACCGACAAAATTTGTATGGAAGTGACCACGTTTCGTCCGGGACTTGAGATTTCTGATGTACTAACTGGGTTTATGTACTAACCGGACTCGTATTAACGGGGGACGACCTGTAGTTGGCTATCATGTTTAGAAATAGCCCACTCAAACATTCTATTCCTCCCAGGGCGGACCGGATTGACTTGCTGTAATAGCAGGGCAGCACACAATGCAATTTTAGCTTGCAACATTGTGTAGTGTGGCTGGAGGGATGAGGAACCCAACGTGACCTTTGACCCATGACCCTGTGACCTTTGACCCATGACCCCGTGACCATTGACCTTAATTAATGTTATGGTTTGGTTTTTATTATTTTAGTTCGTTGCCTCAACAGTACAAAGTACATAATATCAAGAGGGACGAACGAAAAGAGAAAGTAAAACAGAGCAGAAATGACCACTGACCTCTCCGGAATACTATCGTACTGCAATGGAATACGGTACTGGCGCCAGCCTCATGCACTGCACCATGTGCTTTTAGTGCAGCTGCAGAGCATGCAGTACTGTCGGTCGCCAAATGACTGGGGGGGGGGGGGGGGGGGGGGGCAGCCTCCTAGCCTAGGCCGTGCTTATGAATTTTTCAAGTTTTTTTGTTTGTTTTTTAGTATGTTCACATACCCAGCTCGAAAATAACAAAAAAAGACAATGGTACTGAGACTAGGACAACTACTGAGCAGGGGCTGCAGCGTACAGTGTTGCTCAATGAAATCCAGTCGCTTCACTCAAGTACATGCACGCTCCGGGCGTAGCGCAGGCGTAGACCTGCGAACACTGGGCTGCGGAATGACGCAGGGCGCGCACTTGAGTGACGCGACTGGATTTCATTGAGCAGCGCTGTACTTCAGTTGACGCACAGTTGAGTCGCCGTGTACACATTAGTTTGCTGTGCTTGGTGAAATCGTAGCCTGTTTTTTCTCGGCACTCCGTTCGTCCACACCCGACAGTACTGTAATAGTATGGCGCACACAACGTAGGCTGCAATGTGTCCAGCTCCGACGCAGATTGCACTCTTCACTAGCCGCTACTTCAGTACATGTACATGTACATGCACCGTAGGAACTCGCTCTTACGTCATAACACTTCCATGTATGGAACACTCCTGTGCGTGTATGCCTGACACTACGGCACTGGTTTTATGGCAAGATGTGTGTTCTCCATGATTTCTTCAAGAACATACATCTTTTCTTAATGCGCGCAAGCTCCACTGCAGCTACTTCATTACATGAAAAACCTTACACACACCATCCTCAAATCAAGTGGTCTCTTCGTTGCAAATTACGATATCTCAATCGATCGAGATATTGTAGTTTGCAACGAAGAGACCACTTGATTTGAGGATGGTGTGTGTAAGGTTTTTCATGTAACGAAGTAGCTGCAGTGGAGCTTGCACGCATTAAAGGGGAAGTTAAGGCAAAAAAATTCACCAGTTGTAGTCTTCGGGGTACTGAGTCGAATGGTCGTGGTCCGAGGAAGCTGAGACGCTCCCTTCCTACTTTAATCCCAATCGAACTCGCGCACTTCCACCAAAACTGGGTGACCGCGCCCTACGAGATGGGGATTTGTATGCAAAATGTCACTAAAAGCGCCATTTCGTTCTTATAAAAGCACGGATGACCGCGATTGGCCCATATGTTGTAGTCTTTTGGACGCTGAGTCGACTGGTTTTGGTCCGAGAAAGCTGCGATGCAGCGTTCCTCCTTTATTCCCAATCGAACATGGCTGAACATGCGGTCACGTGCTCCTGGGTGCCCAAATCACCTGGTCACCACGCCAGCCGGCGACAACTTTCACACCAAGGTTCAACTCGAGTGACAGGAGTGCACCCAAAAAAGGTCAAACAGGCTAGTAAGTTGTACCCTGCAGGCACGGTGACCAGGTGACTGGTGTACGCAGGAGCACGTGACCGCTTGTTCAACCATGTTCGATTGGGAATAAAGGAGGAACGCTGCATCGCAGCCTTTTCAGACCAAAACCAGTCGACTCAGCGTCCGAAAGACTACAACATATGGGCCAATCGCGGTCATCCGTGCTTTTATAAGAACGAAATGGCGCTTTTAGTGACATTTTGCATACAAATCCCCATCTAGTAGGGCGCAGTCACCCAGTTACAGTGGAAGAGCGCGAGTTAGACTACAACTGGTGAAATTTTGATTTTTGCCTTAACTTCCCCTTTAAGAAAAGATGTGTGTTCTTCAAGAAAGCGTGGGAGCGTACATACATCTTGCCGTATTATTAAAATCTGGTGTCATGTTTTCCGGCGTACACATGCAGGAGTGTTCCATACATGGCAGTATTGTGTCATAAAAGCCGGTTCTTACGGTACATGTGCTTGTATGTAAAACCGGAACATTTCGGTGGAGATGTACTTTCGGAAACTTCGGTGCAGGTAATCTTTGCCTAAAATAAAACGAGACCTAAAATTCACCTATGCCATGCCACACAGTGTGCAAAATGCATTTTTGGATCTGGAAAACTGGTAAACTGAAATTTTCGCGCTACCGAGCCGGTGATTTTGGGAAATACCGAAAATGTGACACCACCGAAAATTCCCGGCTTTCAGTACTGTCTTATCCCGGTCGCGTGCTTCCTCACAGACCAACTACCTGTGCCATTTCCTGCTGATTGCTCGCCTCGTGCCGGCCATGGCGAAGTGCGGTGCGGATGCACGCATAGTCTCCGTGTCGTCCACTGGCCACGTCTTCGTTGGCAACATGGCCACCGGCAAGACCAACTCCCGGGAAGCGTTCAACCGTCTCGGCGTCTACGCCAACACCAAGCTGTACCAGGTGAGGGTCGGAACCGCACTGTCTTCTAACATCTGTGACACGACCACCATGCAGGGACAGCCATGTTGGTTACAACTCCGCACAAACCCTTGCATCTATGGGTCACAATGTGACATGATGTCGGCCATGTTGGTTCCACTGTCCACATGCCATGATCACTTTCTGCACAAACTTGGTCACATGACCAACTGACGTGAAACCACTCTTTACAGCAATTTCACAAATTATTGGTACTTTCGGTGCATCTGTTTCAAACTTGCATCTGTTTCAAGCTTTTTGTAAAGCTTCGATAACCGAACCACCACAAACATACAATCCAATAGGGAACTGCTTCCCTGTACCTAAAATTTCTGCTCACCTAAACCTGGCCTTTTTCTCTCACGCCTTAAATTTTGAGCACCTAAAATTCCTGAGATTAGAGTACCGTGAATAGTTTTTAAAGTTTTTTAATTAAAGTAGTAGATGCGTTTCTGTAAGGATAAAACTACAGTAAGACCTGTGTTTGCCGGAGCCTGTAGCAAGTAGCAAGCAGAATTCTGCGGTGACCGGACACATGTTCATGCACTAAGTGCTGTGCATCTAACGTACATCCCTGTACCGAGTGGAGTCCGGTATTGACCGGAGAGATTTTCATTTACCAAAGTGCTGTGGATCTAAATTGTAGGCTGGATAAAGTGGAATTCTGTCATATCCGGACTGTTGGTGTACGCGCGCGCGTGTGTGCGTGTATGTGCGTGCGTGTGGTTGTCGCTGCGCAGGTAATGATGACGGCGGTGTTGCAGCGTCGCCTACGGGACACGTGCGTGACGGTCACGAGTGTCCACCCGGGAGATGACGTGCATGAGGAGATTGGTTCGCAGGCGTGGCTTGACGGCTTCACAGCAGTGGGTGAGTAACCTCTGCCTGGGAGTAGCTGGGCATCAAACGTACCTAGCCAGAGTGCTCAGACTGACAAGTCAATGCAATCTTTTTAGAGATTTCTAATAATATTCTACATGACCAATAAGAATGGCCTGGGCTACAACACTGAGACCCGAGAAGTTCTTCAGCACCCGACAGTGCTGTATGTCTTAACTTTGCAGAGTACACACTAGGCAAGCTCCACTGTACAGTCATGGAGATTAATCACATCCGAACAAATGCTGCTGGCCGAAAGCACAGCGTACAGCTCAGCCGTCTATATAGGTTATGCGATGACATCATCAGTTGAGATGCCGTGGTGATGTCGTGCACTCGCGGCACAGCGCTGCGCTAGCACTAGCGACTCACGCTGCATAGATAGCGCCCGTTATAAACTCCGCTGATTCACACTGTGTGCTTATACAGTAAAACCTGTCAAGGCAACCACTCTGATACGGCGACCACCCACCCCAGAAGACCACCATAACCAGGACCAAGGGATGCTATTTCCAGTCAAATGACCCTGGATAAGGAGACCACCTGGTAACAGAGACCACATGTTGCAGGTCCCTTGAGCGGTCGTCTTAGACAGGTTTCACTGCACTGCCCATTACACGGAGACAGCAAGGGCAATCAAGGGCAATCAAGGGCAGCAAGGGCAATCAAGGGCAGCAAGGGCAGCAAGGGCAATCAAGGCGTTTTAGTCGCTACTCAGAGTTTCATGCTTTCGCAATCATCAGGCAACATAGTGCCCATTAGATAATCCGCTGACTCATCCCGTGGAATTCAATCGCGTAACATCTGCTCTGCTTGTATTCATGTGTGTGCCGCCGCGCAGGTAGACTACCATCTCCCGCTAAAGCAGCTGTGTCTATCATTTACGCCTGCGTCAGTCCGCAGCTAGCGGGTCACCCGCCGGTTTTCATGGCCAAGTGCCGACCGTACGTGGAAAGCGTCGAGGCAAGGTGCGGTGTTCATTCTGCATTTGCCGCACTGATCATAAATCCTTTTTATTAATAATAATAAAAAGGAGTATGATCAGTGCGGCAAAAATTATTATAATGATTAGGCCGAGTAAAAAAAATTACTAGATGATCGTCCTTTTTTTTGGAAAAATCGGGGAGGGCGGGAGGATTTTATTTTTATTTTTTTACTTTTTACCCTCTCATGCACACAGTGTACACAACAACATCAAGGTTTTTTTTCTCTTTTTTTCTTTTTTTTTCTTTTTTTCTTTTTCTTTCTTCAGCAGATCGATACTGACGTTGTGATATACTAGTAGTATGTGGTCCATATAGTAAAGAAAGTATTAAACAAAGAGCAGTTGCAGTAGAGACAGTGTAGATGATGCACACACGGTAAAAAACCAACGATTTCGGCAAAAACTCACGATTTAAAAAATAAAATATTTCTTGGGGCGCTGACAAAAACTGGGGCGGACGGGGACGATCATCTAGCTTTTTTTTTTACTTGGCCTTATGCATGCATGTGTGACCCTATCTGTACATCGGCATGTGTGTCCCTATTAACTTTGTACATCGGCATGTCCCTCTCTATGTACATCGGCATGTCCATATTATGTACATCGGCATGTGTGTCCCTATCTGTATGTGTGCATGTGTAACCCTATCTATGCGCCTGCATGTGTAACCCTATCTATACGCATGCATGTGTAAACCCATATGTACATCGGCATGATTGTGTACATGATGTGTATGCGATTTTCGGCATTTCGGAACGGCCAAAAAACTTTGCGACGATCCCTAAGTAAGGCCATAGGACGCCAGGGGACAGGAATAAGGACTGAAACGCCAGCAAATGTGGGATTGTGAATTCGGAAATATGATTGTGTGAAGCAGCAAGACAGCCTTTAGGGATCGTCGCAAAAGCTCATCGTTCATTTCGTACTTGGACCCCCTCCGAAATGAACGCAGCTTGCTGTGCTGGACGACGAAAATCGCATTCATGTCATGTACGGCTCAGTTGACCATCGTAGAATAAGCCGCACGGGTTTTTGGGAGTGGATTACAAGTGTTTGAAGTGCGGATTGTACTCTGGAAAATACGCTGCATGTACGGTGTTGGTCGACTTGCGATTTTGCCCCCCCCCCCCCCCCCAAAGAACAATGTTCATTTCAAGGACGACAAAAAACAAACATTTTTACGACGAAGTTAATGGGTTATGGCAATGGGCTTGTGCCGATGCTGGCATGCTTTGTTGCTCTCTGTTTTCTCTTATGCCGATGCTGGCATGCTTTATTGCTCTCTGTTTTCTCTCTGGTGTGCAGTAACAAATCCAAGCAAGAGGAGCTGTTCGATTACAGCGTGAGGTTGTTGCGCGAGCACATCGGCGAGGAAGGCGCCCGAGTGCTGGGCATTGACCTAGCGACCGTGAGCTCTCCCGAGCAGACCAGACTGCCGGCATCGCAGCAAACGTAGCGCACCGCTCGCGCACACTCGCATCCGGAGTTCGCCTCGTAACTTGTAGAGTGCCCTGTAAGGGAGTATGCTATGTAGGCGACGCTTCAACACTGAAGCTAGCCCAGTGCCCTCCCTGTCGTCGGCTGCATAGAACGTACGAGCGCTCATCAGATACAGCCGTCAGTCGATCACGGATACTCACTAAGATGGGTGCACTCGGATGTACACCACGTAGAGGAGAAAGTCGTAACGCGTCCGTTGTTATGACTGCCCTCCGGTTTTGATCAGTGCCGGGTCAAGCGGCAGATGGCTCAGTGCATCTTAACCAACGCCGGGTTAAGCGGCAGATGGCTCAGTGCATCTTGACCAACGCCGGGAGCACACCTGCAGGAGGGAGGAGGAGTTTCCTGTGACGACACAACCGCAGTGCAGGATGTCTCGTTGAGTGGCGGCGCATGTGTTTGGGTGGTGGGGGAAAGACAGGAGCGAGTCACCTGCCGGCGGTCATGCAACACAGTGCGTGTGGAATAGCTGGGGGGGGGGGGGGGGGGGGAGGGGGAGACCAGCACAATCCCAACAGGAGCACTGCTTTGCGGTCCTGCAGTGCCTGTACATCCACTACTCTCGAACACAATCATGGCAGCGAAGGTTTCAGACCGGTGGCCTCAGGCCGGGTAAACAACATTATTGACATACAGTTTTTTTTTTTTTTTTTATTGAACCGCCAATTCTGGCACGTTGTGCCACTGTAGTCTGCATGCAGTCTGCAGAGCAGACGTCTAGCTGCAGCTATGTGACATCTGATACTAGACTTCTAGCTGCAGCTATGTGACATCTAGTACTACCTAATCTAATCTGTACAAGCCATGATTTGAAAATTTTCAGCGCAATCACTACGTCCTGCTGAAGGACGCCATGATTTTGTGTAAAAAAGAAAAAGAAAGAAGCTATGTGACAGTTTGCACACGATCTTACCGCATACATAATACACCTCCCGGCGTATGAGGGACACTTTGTTTGCATGCTTTTTACTAAGTTTTAAGCAACTTTTTTTAGTTTTTACGAGATGCATAGCTCCCTTTTTAATATGGGCCAGCTTTCATCGAAAGTTGGAGATGTCCTTTGAATTTTCGTCGCGAATGCACTCGCTATTGGACGTCATGCATTCTTTGACATTTTCAGCAACTCTTCATGAAAGCTCTCAGTCTAAGATTCGTTTTCACTGAAAGCAGCCCATTACCTCTTCCCAAAAATTTTGTTTCTGATTGGGAAAAGTCCACTAACGTCCCCCCCCCCCCCCCCCGTCACATTGCTTACAAGGTTAGCGTAAAAAATATAGAAAGGGACATCAACGCTTCATGCAAGCTGCACACTGATCGCCATTGACAAGAGTACATGAAAATGTACTCTTGCCATTGACCATTTGACGCCCATCGCCAGAGGCGATGATAGCGATGCTACAGCAGATAGCAACTTGTGCTTGGATTGGACCATTCAACAGCACAATGATCACACACACACATAGCTATGGCGTGGGTACCGGGTCGGGGGTTCATGGTCCTAAGGCATTTTCGTAGTCATCTCATCAGAAGAGTGACTTCTAGAATGTTACGAAAACATGCATCTTAACATGATACTTGATAGACCGTTTGTATTGACCAATGGGGAAACGTCACGTCTCCGAATCAGAAGGAGGCTCTGTGTGTTCATGTCCATGCAGAGAGAGAGAGAGAGAGACCCACAGCAAGCATTGGCTAATTCTCCTGGCAACTACGGCAGAACACACAAGGAAGTTAGTTTGCAGATTCTCTTTTCTTCATTCCAGCTTCCAATTCAGCAGACGCGACTGGTCGGAACACCAACTGAAATACACACACACCAACGGGAAGCTAGAAAGGTAGAGAGCAAGCGAGATAGCTGCCTATTGCTAATAATGGATTATATAGGATAAGCAGCAGAACATACCAGAAGCAAGCACACACAAACAGACAGACAGACAGACAGCGGGTCAAGGCAGGCCCAAAAGCCGTCACCCAGCTGCCGGTGACGGAGGTACTGTGCCTTGCGGGTATTCCTGCACTGGTCACTGGTACGATGCGGCGGAGGAGGTTATAACGTTGGGTTAATATCACACGCAAGCAGAAGAAATAATAATTATAAAAAAGGAAATTAGGATACAAGAGCAAGCCAGGGCATGATCTGGAGACAGGAAGCGGCTGCTGGTGCCACACCAGCGGCGTTACTGAGCCAGGCCGCAGCGCGACCGATACTATTATTGCATGGCCGTGGGGTAGATACAGGCGATGAGAGGTTAACGGCCAGTTGTCCATCGCTATCCTTGAGAATTGCGCAAGTGACTTGTTAGGTGTGTTAGCAGGGAAAGCAGCAGCAGGCTTTCGGATTATTGGACATTAACAGAACTGCTGACTATTATAGGGGAACAAGAATGTTGCCAGCAACTCAAAACAGAAAAAAACAGGGCATCAGGTTCTAGCAATACCAAAACGCGCACCCAGACTAGAAAAGAAAACACACGCACGCATACAGAGACGAGCACAAGGACATGGCAACTCTATGGCAGAAAAAACGAAGAAGAAGAGGAAGTGATCCTAATATGAAGTATTGCTATTACTTGTAGTAAGCGGTAAATCTATACGGAAAATCCTAGAAAATCAGACACACAACTCTCGCAAACAAATAACTTGCAACCGTACTGCTAAACATGGTATAAGGCAAAAAATGATACAAAGTCAGGAGATACAAAAAATGGCTACAAAAAAAGTGCAGAAATTCCGCGTCACGGAGAGATCAGCAGGATCTGAACATGAGGTTAGAGGCGGACATAAGCGATAGTTAGTTAGCATCTATGGTGTGTCTTTTCTTGCATGTCCTCGGGGAGGCGTAGGCACGTGTGCGTGTGTGCGGGGGCGTGCAGGCGAGAGCAGCGGAAAGTGTCCATTGTCGAATACTGCCACCGCGTGGAGTCACCACACATGCTGTCGGGTGACAACGGCAGTTGCGGCGCAGACATTCTCCAGGACATCGGCGATCGTAGGATCCAGGAATAAGAACATGAGATTGGGAGTGGTGACTGTGGGGCAAGTGTGTGTAAAGGTTGTGGAAGATGAGAGCAGTTTTGAGTTTATCCATTCGTAGTGTTCGTCTCCGCATGTCGTTAGCATGGGAAATCATCAGTAGCGGACACACGGGACTTGATGCCCGGAAATTGTTAGGGATAGAGGCAGGGGATGGCGCACACAGGACACTGACAAGCAGAGTGGCTTGCAGGGTGGCTGGTACACACACAGGACGCTTACGGGCATACAGGTTCGTACCGTGCCGGCAGCTTGGAGCGGTCCAGGTCCTCGAAGTAGGAGTGATTGAGCGCCTGCTTGGCCGATATCCGGCGCGCGGGGTCATATTGGAGCATTCGCTGTGGGCAAGACAAGGCCGCACACACAACACACACGCATGCGCAATAGGTGGAAGTGAGCATGATGGGTGGTGCACTGTGATAATGGGAGTATGGTGTGAGAGTTAGAATAGGGATGTGTAGTTGGATGGTAAATGGAGTGCGTTCCTAGAGGTGGATCGCGTGTAGAGAACGTAGGCTAGCTGTTCGTGATAACAATCCATTTGGGGATCGCAATACAGGCAGTGTTGCCACATCATTCTAGCCAAATATCAGTAGCATGAAAAAATAAAATGCATCATCCGGGGGCTTTCGCCCCCGGACCCCCCCCCCCCCCATATAGCGACCTCATGCGGCACTGATAAGAAAAAAACATTTCACGGTTTTGCGTGACACTCAGGCTGAGTTTGCCGATTTTTCCCCGAGACGGATGATTTCGCTTAGGGCCGATTCCCACTACGGTACCGTGAGTGCCGTGCAGTGAGTACCCATGGTGATTTGCTCACGTGAGGGGCAGTTTTGGCGCGAGTTCATTCCGTGGCTCCTGCCGTACCGCGCCGGGAAATGGCATGCCGTGGTATTCCGCGAGGTCGAATGCAGTGAGTAGTAGGTATTTTACTACTCCCTGAAAGGAAGTTTTTTCTTTCTTTTGTATTTGTGGTACGAAGCTTTTCGATTGGTTGATTCTTGAGCTTTCTCCAGTCATCTCCCCGGCCCCCGCTATTTCCCTCAGGATCAAAGTCAGAAATTGATTAAAAAAAATGGTGATCCGGCCTGCCGACGGAATGCACGGAATGACTGTGCGCAGGTGTAAATCACTCTCAGCTTCAAGCTCGTACCGTGGGGTACACGTGACCTACCCAAATCGTCGGCACGGCACTCACGGTACCGTAGTGGGAATCGGCCCTTAGCGCCTCAGGAGAGAGCTATGGAAACACTCGTGATGCGCAGTAAAAGTCAAAAATCTGGACCATGACTCCTAAACCATGCATAAGGTCAAACTTGAACACTTTCATGGCTGTTGTCGGCAGGAGAAGGTCAATTGTCGGCAGGTCGCGACATGCCTCAAAAATCGGCAGGCTACTGACATGTCGGCAGGTGTGGCAACACAGTACAGGGCATGTAGAAAGAGGGTAAATAATGATGACAAAATGATATTTGAAGGCCAAAGGGAATGGGAGAAACGGTCTCTAAGACTATTCTCCGTCACACACACCTGGTGTGCACAGAGTGCTGACAATGCAGTGGAAGCAGAGCGTTGCACGGTTGCGCATGAAGCTCTGCGTCACAACCGCAGCCTACTGTACAGGCAGAACATTTCGTCGGTCAATAATTTCGTCCAACTCAAAAGAAAGGGAGTTCGTCCGGTTGAAAATTTCGTCCATGGATCATAAGAGCGTATTGATTTTGGACATAAGTCTGGCATTAAATTTAGTCCAAAAGCTCCTTGGACGAAAAAGACGAAATTAAATTCCAGACGAATATTTCTGCTTTATGCCATTGCTGCAGGTCGGCGAGCAGATTAAAGAAACCCTCCACAGAATCTACCATTAGTGTTCTCCAGTACAACGTTTCTTCCTGGTGAGAGTTGCACGAAAACTTAGAAGTGTATATTTAATTGTCCACTAAGTTTCCGCCCTATTGTGGTCGCATTTTACTCGTTGTCCATCACATCACATGTTCTTCCACGTACATGCACAATAAAGCTGCTATGAAATGTCGATTCAGTTGGTCCTGTTGATCGCTACCCTCCATAGGCATAAGACAGCAGACTAAAACAGTAATACCCACCTGGAGCAGGTCAACACCCTCGGTTTTCAACGACGGAACGATCTTGCTGAACGGCTGCGCCTTCCATCGCGGGAAGGTCGGCTTGTAGTCCGGTAGCTTGGTAACGCCCGGCCACGTGTCATCCGTGGCTGTGCCGAGAGTTCTGTAAACGCACACACATGCAGACACACACACACTTGTACTTGTTGCTCACTGCCACAACTGGTCACGTGGGCCTCCCCGGGAGAGGGGAGAGAAACTCAAAAGGAATCTTGGAAAGAGGACTCAATTGGCTATTGAACCGCCCAACAGCCGACACCCCCCTGAAATCCCCAAAACTCTGGGTGGACTTGAAAATGATCCCACTTATGGGCTCACCACACCTCAGTAAGTGGGTGAGGACAAGGTGCAGAAAAAGGATGGACGGCATCAGGGTATCCGTCACGGGATCCAACTGCAGTTACCCCTGCCCCCAGTGAAGGTAATACTTGCTACTAGTGTGGGTGGCTAAACCAGAGTGGAGCTGATACAAGCTTCACTAGCATCATGATTACACACACACATGGTTTGGAAGTGGAACAGTGCGTATGATGGAAAGAAAGTCCCAGTGCCAGGCAAGGAGACACAGAAGTAACCCAATACACAGTTGAAACCCAGAAACAGCACCCTCAAAACCGACTCACCGGAATATTCTGAAGAGCTGATCGATCTCAGAGTCGCCGTGGAAGATCGGCCTCTTTTGCACAAGCTCGGCGAAGATCGTGCCAATGCTCCACACGTCCATTGGGCAAGCATAGCGCTGCGATCCCAGCAGAATCTCCGGCGCACGGTACCACAATGTTACAACCTGCAAGCAACATGCAGGCACACACAAACACACACACACACACGTCAAAGAAAACTCCGCCGCTCGTAGCAGACCAGAATGTCACGGAGTCCCGGGTCGATAACGTAAACTTGAACACTGAGCCCGCTCGCCAGTCATTCCGAACGGCCAAGGCACACAAAGATATAACAAAGACGAGGACAATCACAGACAAAGCATAGCCCCCCCCCCCCCCCCCAACACACACATAGATGTACACTCTGTGTTGCCACATCATTTTAGACAAATATCAATAGGATAAAAAGACACAATGCATCATCCGGGGGCAAAGCCAGGGTTTTTCTACATACACACACACACACCGTGGCAGATGTGAGTGCCTACCTCATGGGTGTAGATGCGGACGGGAATGCCAAAGGCACGGGCAAGGCCAAAGTCAGCCAGCTTGATAACGCCGTTGTTGCCAACGAGTAGGTTCTGCGGCTTGAGGTCGCGATGCAGCACGCGATGCGAGTGGCAGTACACAATTCCCAGGCATATTTGATACAAATAACTCTGCGCGAACATTAATATACATGCACATACGTACACGTACACATGGGCACACACACACACACACACACGCACATGCGCATACGGAACAGACCCCGGGCGTCAAAAGAGTCCATAGCAGAGCGTGATGACCATGCAACTTCCCCATGCCACGGTAGAACAGGCAACATTCAAAGCAACGCGTACCGCACTATTCTCTACAGCTTACATAGCATATTTGGATCAACTGCAACAGCAGCAGCAGTATCTCACTCATCTGCAGTCAGAGCACGCTCACATTCTGCTCAAAGCACACGCTGGCTTACCTTGACGAGCTGAGTCGGCAAGTCTCCATCGTGCTTGTCGAGAAAGTTTTTCAGGTCGGTGTTTAGAAACTCAAAGATCAGGTACAGCTTCGTGTCCTGGTGGATCACTTCCTTTAGGCTGCACGTAACCAAGGTGAACCGACGTCAGCACATGCACACACACACACGCGCACAAGCGCAAGCAAACACACACACACACGATAGCATGCACACACCCGTTGATACGACGCCATGACCACTTGGGAGCTACAACACATCTATGAAGTAAACAAAGCCCAACACCAGCAGGCGTCCCTACAGATGGGTTGTGCGAATGCACAGTCAGACCTTGCTTCTCCGGTCCTCTTTTATCCGGATCCCTCGCCATCCGGAAGAAAATAGCTGATTACAGATTTACAGCATACGTGATGCATGCAACATAACTGGTGTTTGGTTAGGGCCGGGTTCCACTGCGGCTCCGCGGCACTTGGCTGCATGCAGCGGAGCAGCGCGGTTCCACTGGCACTCGCCATTCGCGGTACCGCGGTCGTGCTCCATGTTTTTTATGACGTTTTACCTGCCTGCCTGCGCGCGAAATCGAAAAAAGATGCTCATGCTCTGGCCTGCGCAACGAATAAGAATTTTGAATTTTAAAATTCTCGCGTACAAAATAATGCAAAGTACGGGAAACAGGTCGAGCCGCGACCGCGGCTCGCAGTTTTTGATCAAGAATCGTAGCGAAAGCTTGCGGTGAGCCGCAGCCTCGCTGCTCCAGCTCGAGCCGCGGTCACTATGGTAATGATGACGTTTCAAGCCACGGATGACGAGCAGCGGAGCCGCAGTGGGACCCGGCCCTAATCCGGCTCCCTCGCCTATCCGGATATTTTTTGTGGAAAACAGATGTGTGAGGTTAAGCGAGGTCTGACTGTACAAGCATTACAAAACAAAAAAGAAGAGCATCACTGGCATGTCTGTAAGTAAGAAGCAAGACTGGCCAGCAGCAGCACTTCTTACATACCCTACAGACTTGTCTTCACCCAGGCGCTAGTGCACATGCCTGCGTTCTTGACCAACCAAGGACGCTTTCCTTTTTGCAGGACGGAGAGCGCTCGAGTATTCGCTCGTTGACTCTGAAAGAAGCATTTGTTCGCTGCCGAGCGGGTTGCCAGCGGCTAGGAAGCAGTCGGAGTACCAACATACTGCGAGTGGCTACCGCGTCAAACGCAGATAAGCGACGATGAGATACAAAAACAACCGCTTCTACAGGTACGCAAAACTGCTAAGCCAAACAAAAAATCGCTGCAGATACTCGCTACTTGCAATCGCAGTTCAGAAGATCGGTCATGGGGCGCAAGAATGGATAGTCAAATGGTCGATTTCGAGGTTCCTTTTCCTCCAACATTGCTTTTCGACCTTCGCTTCGAGCGATTTCCTGAGCATCGCGAACATCCCGGTATTACGGCGGTAACCCGTGGCCCACCGCCGCCCCAGCACCGTTCATGAGTGCCACTGATCGTGTGCGGACAAAAACAAAGTCCGACAGAAAACCTGGGGAAGGTGCGCCAATCGGCCGGCATCATGGCGGCATGGCACTCAATACTTTTTATATGGCCTCCAAACAAAACGTAAAGTACAAAAGCGATCTATTCGCGCATTCCCCGAATCTTGCATGCGCTGGAAGAAACGATGAAGGTATGAAGAAAACGTGCAGCATTCCAGAATGCCGAGCCTGCGTCATTCCACTCTCAACGAGTCGATCTGGAACACGAAAAGCGGATACCGGTATAAAATTCCACCCAGGTGTATGATGTTGCAAAGCGCGCCATTTCGAGCGCAGGTGAGGGAATATGTCGAGTGTCCTCATTCGCAAGGAGAGAAAGGGGAAGAAGAGAGCTTGCCGCATGGAGACTCGCTCGTCAACCCAGGTGAAGTTCGCTCAGAGCTGAACATAGGCGCAAAGGCACCAACATGCACAAGGCCGTACGTAACGAAGAACGGTGCCAGTCCGGGCAACCCGATTACTTCCACGGACACACAAAGAAACACAACTACACGGTTCCTACGAACGACCCGAGAGGGCTACCGTCATTCAATGCAAGCAAGGGTACAGCATAGCAAGACCACCTTGGATGCAGACGACTACCCACTGCCACAACCTCCGCACTTTCAAAAGCCAACTGCCCCGCCATGTGCAAACAGCCCCAATGCGTACTACAATCACATTGTGCAAAGTTTGCGCCACGACAAAGCACGTGGGGAGCAAGAAACTCTGAACTCCTCACAAAATATGTCGGTCCGTAGAGGAAAGACTTTCAGGAACATTAGGACGAGGAACTCAATACGAAACGACTCTACACATACTTCGGCACATAAAGAATATCAACGTCCACGAACACACAGCTGATTTGAACATAGAAAACATGGCAACAGTTCTTTCTTGGGAGGCAAGAAAACCCCAGGTTGTGCGCAGTGTATCTGTGTACACCGTGCGAGTCAAGAAAACTGTTTCCGTAAGACAGAAAAGGACGCACTGGCGGGAAGGATGCATGCACAAACAAAGGCACAAAGCCTGCTCGCACACCATAAAGACCAAATTTCTTCGTCCGCAGAGCGCAATGCGAATACCGGGAAGGGTACAAACAACAACGCAACAAACTTACTCTACAATATTCGGGTGGCGAAGTTCCTTGAGGATAGAAATTTCTCGGATTGCAGTGCTTGGAACGCCCTCGCTTGCTGAAGTCAGGCGAATCTTCTTCATGGCAACAATTTCGCCGGTCACGGCGTGTTGCCCCTTGTAAACAACTCCATAGGCTCCTTCGCCAATTTTTCCAATCTTGATGTAATCGCTGAGTGAGTTTTTTCCCACTGTCGACGCCATCCTGCTGAAAGCCAAGCTGAAGCAACTGCACTTGAACCAGAAACAATCTCTTGTCTTCTTTCTCCTTCACCTTTCCCTCAAGAACATACTACTGGCCAGCTTTCCGAAGCACCTGAACGATTTCACCAAGAGCGATCTCCATGAGGAATTTTGAATTTCGTGCATGACAGGAGTCCGCCAATCAACAATCGAGTGAGTACGGTTCACGTGATACCGAAATTCGTACATTCCATCCAACACGTTCAAAAGGGGTATTAGTTTGCACAATCCTGTACGAATAACGCCATTTAACTCGGGCTGAATTTTGTAAAACCCAACAACTCCGCACGAAATTCGAGATTGCTGTGCAGCCGCCTTGGCTGCATCAGATTCAAGTACCAAACACCCGGTAATAATAGTTTCCTTCCCGGCCAGCACCACTGCATGCACCGCACCGCGCGCGCGCCAGCTTGGTTCGACCAGCTTTTGTAGTTTTGACAGCACGAAAGTCGAAAGGCGCTAGGCGTAGATCTACAAGAGACGGGCTGAAAATACAGTAATTGAAATGCTGCCAGAGTGTTTTGTAGTAGAAGAGGATAGAGCTCTAGTAGAGGCCTTGCGCGGGACCGTTCGAGACAAGCTACGTACTTGTATAACAAAATTGGAACGAAAAGAAATCGAGTTAAAACGCGACAACCAATGTTACATAGCCTGACATTCAGCTGAAGGCTCAGACTTTTCGCTTTCTCCTTCAAGTTTCAGCACTGAGTGACTCGCGCTCCAATCTGCTGTGCTGGACATGTGGTGATCACAGCTGAATTACAGCAGGAACGGACTAGCACTGATCACGTACCAAAAAGCAGCTTTTTTTGGCCAACAATACTGCTGGTGGACGCGCTGGTACGTGGTGACATAGTCAAGCGAGACGGCTGGCGGCGTTTGATAATCTTTATTTCAGGATTACTAGTACCGAAAGGTTATCCGACAAGATCATGCACAAGTACAGTCCAGTGTTTCCTGCTGCAACGCAGATTATTATTATAGCGCTGTGCGCCAGCCATTTTCTCGTAGGATGTATGACGGCTTCAGCAGCAGCTGGGCAGCGGGCGGCGGACAGCAGAAAGCCAGTGATTATCGACACGGACGTGGGCTCGGATTTCGACGACAGCGTAGCTATCATGCTGGCCCTGCAGAACGACGAGCTGGACGTCAAGCTGATCGTCACCGCCACCAACGACACGACGGCGCGCGCACGCATCGTGGCCAAGTACCTGCTGGCCACGAACCGCACGGACGTGCCCATCGGCATTGGCCTAGCGGTGAACAACTGCCGACAAACGCTGTTCAGCTGGGCGGACGACATCTCCCTGGACAGCTATCAGAAAGATCACGGCGGAGTCGTCCACGAGGACGGCGTCCAGTCAATGTACGACGTCATCAAGGCGTCGGCGGTGCCGGTGACTATCGTTGCCATAGCGCCGGCCACCAACTTCCCCGCGCTGCTGAAGCGCTACCCGGACGCGGTGCACCGCGCCAGCGTCGTGGCGATGAGCGGCAGCCTGTACCGCGGCTACGGCAACTCGTCGCAGCCGGCCGCCGAGTACAACGTGTGGCAGTGCGCGGTGTGCTCGCGGCAGATGTACACGGCCGGCTGGGCGTTGACGACCACACCACTGGACACCTGCGGCGTGGCGCGCATGTACGCCGACTCCTTTGACCTGGTGCTGGGTGGCCTGGGCCCGTACTCCACTATTCTCCTGGCGTCGTGGATACGCTGGTGCTCCGAGTCGGGCTCCTCGGCGTGCAGCCTAGCGCCGCTGATCACGGACGTGTTCTACGATGCCGTCGCGGTCACCCTGGCGACCAGCCAAGGCGCCAAGTTCATGGACATCGAGGCCAGGAAGGTGGTCGTCACGGACGACGGGCACACGGTGATATCCGAAAGCGGCACGGAGATCCAGGCGGCGCTCAACTGGCACGAAGGCGGTACGGGTCTGAGCGCCTTCCAGATGTGGCTGGGCGGGCAACTGGCTAAGAACTCGGCCTCGTCATTGCCATGACACTAGTCAGGTGTCTGAGAGACGCCTCATTGTGTCACACACCATGTACCGTGTATACGCCCGTCGCAAGAGAAGCATGCAAATCTGCAAGTGCATTGGATGTGCACCCGCAGATTTTCTCTTATAGCAACCGTCGGATAGCGGATCTGGTTGTGAATGAAACAGATCAAGACACACACACACACACACACACACACACACACACACACACACACACACCATGAATACACACACACACCTGTCCTGTCCTGTAGAGCCACTGCCACAGGGGTCGGTGGGCCCCTGAGGGGCGCACACACACACATGCGCACACACACACACTGCTGCATGCTGCACACAAGGATTTTGCGGTTCCGTACAAAGCAACCCTGGTCTTACCACGGCATGCTTGAACAGTGACGTAGATACTGCAGGATGTGTAGACTGTAGCAGACTGCGGTACAGACCAGTTACATGGAGAAAAACAGCTTTTCTCTCTGCCCTTGCATGGCTGATGAAGGACAACAACGAAGCACGTACATGTACTGAGTACGAGTATGAAGAGAATGCAGGTGTGGTATGCTGAGCTGTGTATGCAGGTGATATGTGCCAACGCCAGCCAGCACCGTAGAAACCCGACTCCCTGCGTCGAGGCCTCATCTGTCTAATTAAAAATATTTAATGTTAGCCTAGCTATCTCAACTGACTCAATCACAAATCCAAAGTATAACTGTAAGTGCTGCAATGTTTATTACCCTTACCAAATAATTGTGACGCCCTCACCGAACTCTTGCTACTCCCCCCAGATTCTTGCTACCCCCCCCCCCCCCCCCAGGATTCGTGCTACCCCCCCCCCCCCCCCGATTCTTGCTTCTGGACAGCTACCCAAATCAAATTATTTTTGTATTTTCCCTAATTTGTATCTGTTCCATAAAAAATATGGGACTAAACTATGGTCAACCTACATTGTAGTAATTTGTACATGATTGCAATGCTCAATGAAATCTGATCGGGTCACTCAAGCAAGCGCCGGACGTTGTGCAGCCCTAGACCTGCGAACACTGGGCTACGAAACCGGTGCAGGGTGCAAACTTCACTCACGCGTGTCCGTTGTTTGTATGCATGACATGTATTACGGACAACTCAAGTTGCGTACAACGACACTCGGTGGGGCATCAGAAAAGGGTCCTTATTCGCAAAGTGTCCTTATTCGCAAAGTGTCCTTATTCGCAAAGTGTCCTTATTCGCAAAGTGTCCTTATACCCGAAGCGTCATTATAATGTATACAGCTAGATTTGACTGGGCTCTAGCTCTGGGCATGGGACATTCAGTCGTTATTCGCGAATTGCCGTTGCCGTTATATCCGCAGTCGTTGTTAGCGAAGTTGACTGTATACATGGTACGGGCGGTATGGTTACTAGTACTTTTGTGCGCCTGCACATCTTGTCCAGGCGTCAGACCTCCGGGGTCCAGCCTCCCTGCCGTTCAGGCCTCAGGGGTCCAGCCTCCCTGCCGTTCAGGCCTCAGGGGTCCAGCCTCCCCGCCGTCAGGCCTCAGGGGTCCAGCCTCCCCGCCGTCAGACCTGAGGGGCCCAGCCTCCCCGCCGTCAAACCTGAGGGGCCCAGCCTCCCCGCCGTCAAACCTGAGGGGCCCCAGCCTCCCCGCTGTCAGACTTGAGGCACCCAGCCTCCCCGCCGTCAGACCTGAGGGGCCCAGCCTCCCCGCCGTCAGGCCTGAGGCACCCAGCCTCCCCGCCGTCAGACCTGAGGGGCCCAGCCTCCCCGCCGTCAGGCCTGAGGCGCCCTGCCTCCCCGCCGTCTGTCACGAACATCAGTCGTGATCATTTATGTGCCCCCTTTTTGGCACCAAGCGATTCCCAGGCTTTTGTATGTACCCAGCCATATCTGGCTGCATGTAGCTAGCAGTGTGCTCTACTTGCTCTCTGCTGTATGCACGTACCCGTTTCTGGCTGCCGTGCATTTCGCAGTGTGCTCCCCTTTCGAATTTCAGGCTGCGCATGTATCCATTTCTGGCTGCCGTGCATATCGCGGTGTGCTCCAGGCTTTCTGCGCATGTATCCGTTTCTGGCTAGGCTGCCGTGCATGCCTGTCGCGGTGTGCTCCCCTTTCTGCGCACGTATCCGTTTCTGGCTGCTACAGCTCGCGTTACGCTTCCCAGCTTGCTCTCCTATGTCACGTATATGTTCCAGCCCGTCCGTCGATTCTGCCCATCCTTTAGAAGATGGGCACCTGTACCTGCCCATCTTAGGATGGGCAGAATCGACGGACGGGCCGGAACATACACACGTCCATTTCTGGCTGTACCCGCATGCCTACTATGATTTCTGCCTTCGCGCTGACCCCTGAGGAATCGCTTGAGCCTAGTATGGATCCAGTGATCCGAATGTAGCGCCGTTCCCAGCAAGAACTTGCCGACTTTATATTTTGTTGCTCTACAAGCAGCTTTTGGCTAGTCTTCTTCATGTCTCTTCTTAGAGTAGAGACCAGTTTTTTTCTGCTCTAATCAGTAGCTCAGAGTTACATCAATAGCAATAATAAAACCTTATAAAAGACGCCGTTCAGGCCTCAGGGGTCCAGCCTCCCCACCGTCAGGCCTCAGGGGTCCAGCCTCCCCACCGTCAGGCCTCAGGGGTGAGCCTCCCCACCGTCAGGCCTCAGGGGTCCAGCCTCCCGGGCCACCGTCAGGCCTCAGGGGTCCAGCCTCCCGGGCCACCGTCAGGCCTCAGGGGTCCAGCCTCCCCACCGTCAGGCCTCAGGGGTCCAGCCTCCCCGCCGTCAGACCTGAGGGGCCCAGCCTCCCCGCCGTCAGGCCTCAGGGGTCCAGCCTCCCCGCCGTCAGACCTGAGGGGCCAGCCTCCCCGCCGTCAAACCTGAGGCACCCAGCCTCCCCGCCGTCAGGCCTGATGCGCCCTGCCTCCCCGCCGTCAGGCCTGAGGGGCCCAACCTCCCCACCGTTCAGGCTCGCCACACACACACAACAACCCACTTGACTACACAATCCCTTGGCAAGACGGAGACGGACAAACAAGAAGATCGGACACGACGAGGCAAAACTGGTAGCTGAAGCAAAGGACAAACATTGTGGCAGCATATGAGCATGCGCGCGCAACTTCAACATAATCATTGTGACGCCCGTAACAATGACATAACCGCCCGTAACAATGACATAACCGCCCATAACAATGACATAACCGCCCGTGATCAGCCCGAACACTGCAACGTGCAGGCCAAACAAAGCAACAAAGTCAACAGGGAAACCCAAAAACAATACAAAATAAAAACCAAGGAAACACAACAGAAAGAAGCCATGAAACGTAGTCTTTCACCATAACTAACCCGTTGCGCAACAATTACTATCACATGATCCGAATTAATCTGGGCCAAAGTACTGAGTGCGCTACACTTCGGAAAGTAAAGTCCGGCGACCTCATGCGCACGCACTGTTGATGCACTGTTGTCAGTGTTGATGCGCTGTTGATGGCGAAGGGAGTGAGTTATAATAAATAATACTCTACTTCAAAAGTATACAGGGGGGACAGAGCCGGAGGTCTGGAGAATACACAAAAGGAGAATGACAGGGAGGGATGCAAGAAAAAGAAAAGTGCGTAAAGTTGAGAAATTCACCAAGACTAGATAGTGCTGTCGCCAGATAAGAAGTGAAGAAAAACGCAAGCCGGCTTCGCAAGCTCGCCAATAGACGCAATGATTTCCTCTCTTTTCATTGCATGGCCATGGGAAAAATGCAGGTCAATTAGTGGCGTAAGATACGTTTTAGTTAGGCGTCTCTAGTGAGATTCTTGAAAAGGCCACGCCGTCAAGTGGTGACCTCCAGAGGCAACAGCGCGAACTGCAACAAGTACACACACTGCATACACGTAGAATCTACGCTTTGCTTCCGGTGCGGAACGAGTACACGGCATACACAGAGAGTGAGTTATCCTGTGTGTCTAGTTCAAAGTTGGAACCAGTCACGAATCATCGTGGTCTACAACGCATGCACATCATTCAGCAGTTGGCGCGGCAAGCCACTCCGGCGGGGGTGTCGGCAGGGCAGAGAGATGGATGTCCAGCGCCTCAGCTCCTTCCTCGGTGATGTAATCCTTTAGCAGGTAAAGGCTGTAGTCAAGCAGCATGTCCTGGTTGTTAACATCCCTGCGTAACCAAGGCAACACATTCAAAATGTACAAGATAAGATAGTGGATATCGTAAGGGGCTTTCCGGCATTATGGGATTATTTCCACGGAACGAAAAAGTTAAGTTACGAGTCGTTGACCCTCCCCCCCCCCCCCCCTCCATCCCCAGAACGAAACATGTATTGACTTGACAGAATGGATTTTTCACTTATCGATTTTTCAGAACGAAACTCTCCTCGACCCACCCACCCATAAACGAAACCTTTTTTTCTTTTCGTGTAAAAGATTGACAATTATGGACAATATCCAGTGCACTGTGAATCCATGTGGCAGAGAAGTGAACTGCCCAAAAGGAGGAAAATTGAATTTTGAAGAAATGTAGAAGAGCTCCCATTCCAATAACCGGCGAGGAGACAACAGTCGTAAAATAAATAAAACTAACTGTGCACTCATAAAAAATAAAAATAAATTCACGGTTCGCGTGAGACTCGGCCAAAGGCCCAGTTTTCCGCATCCGCAGGAACGCCACCACCCTCTGCACTCATAACCATTTAGAAAACTTGGCAGCTGCCACATTCATAAATTGTTCATTTTAATAATTGCTTTATACATGGTTATGAGTGCACAATCAGCTCCCATTCCCATACACTTAAAAACTCTGTACAGGCCCGTCTATGATTAACGATCTTTTACCCACAACGAAAGACCATGGGTGGGCGGGTCATTCGTCATTTCGAAAATGATTAGGAGCTGAAAGAAACATCAGTATGTCAGTCGATAATATCTTCTGTGCATGTGCAGCTAGATTGCGCAACAAAAAATGCCGACTTCGCATCGTGTGTCGCGCAGGCCAGGCCAGGGTGCACAGTCATGTACATGTACTGGTACATGGTCCCCACAGTGCAGCACAGTTTTTTTTTCTTTCTTCCAGACTCCTGAATTGTATGCGCGCGGGTGACGAGAAACATAGAGATAAAACGTGTGGCCTCATACACTCCTAGCAAAGCAAAAGCGATTACCTCATTCACATAGTCTCTATAGATACCGGTACCAAGAGATCAGCTGATTGGGAGAGTTGGCACCTCTGCATACCATGGTATGCAGAGGTGCCAAATCTCCCAATCAGCTGATCTCCTGATTTTTTGTTTAATTGTTTTGAAACATCTCCCGATCTCCCGCCCACTATCAAAACCACCCGACTTGCAGCCGTTTTTTTCCTCCACTTTGTCAGCATGTATACACACAGTACATGGAAAAAAGAGAAGAAAAAAGTTCTGCATTCGAGTCGTAATCTCTCTGGAATTGTCTTTTCAGCTCTTTTCCGCCTTTCTCCGCTTCTTTGATTCCACTCCGCTGAACTTTGGTGATGCCGCCGTCGTTCAAGTAAACTGAGGGCTAGAGAGGCCAAGCAGCGCCTCATGTCCTCGGAGAAGTGGCATTTCAGTTCCGCTGGTCATGGCTGTCACGGACCTACTTTGCCACAGCATAACCATCGATTCCGCTCAGCTTGTGGTGAATAGTCGTTTTCTTTGCACCGTATCTCTTTCATGGCATGCCAGGGAAGGCCGAAAAAGTGATCGCGGCTCATTTCACGGCAGTTCGTGCGTAAACCAGTCCCTCAAAAATAGTGTTGAAACGATCTCACCGGATACTCGTTAGCTCGCTCGCCAGAAACTCGGCTCGTTTGTGCGGCCAGCTCGTTTCCACTAACGAACACCGTACTCCGTACACATGGCAGTACATGTCGACTGGGGACTCGTGGGGAGTCGTAAAATATTTTACGACTCCCTGATCGATGGAGAGTCCAGTCCCGCGCAAAGTGAAAATCACTCGCAGTTACGGTGACTGTATGCCTGCACGACACTCGAGTTGTTTCAGTTGTCGTTGCAGCTTTGGTGGACTCTACTGATGTCTTGTTCCGCATCTGCTGACCTGTCGCAGGATATGCTTCGGTCACCTCTCCATTCGAGTGAAAGTTACGCTCAGTCGTTTGGAAGTGTTCTCCCGCGATGCAGCGAAGACCAGGGCTACTTGCAATCTTTGCAAAACGGTCTATTCTTACAAAGGCTACTCAACGACGGCGCTGAAAAGACATCTCGACACCAAACAGCAGTCCGAAGTGAAGCAGCAGCAATCCCAAATGCCGGCGGTGATGATTTGAACCAGCTGAAAAAAATCTAACTTAGAAAAAAATATTCAAAAAAACACATTTGCCACATCAATGAAACTCGTTAGCTCGCTCGATAGCTTGCTCGTTAGTGGAACCCATCGCTCGTTTGTTATAGATACGCTCGTTTCAACACTACTCAAAAATCCATCGTGACGTTTTTTGTTTACGGAGGAAGCAGATGGAAAGAACACACCATGTCTCACCCCCAAGACTAAGAACACACCAAACCCTCAAGACTAAGTGAATACTGTAGTAGTCATACTGGCCGAAGTTTAGAAAAAAACAAAAACAAACAAAAAACACTCGTTTGAAGGGATGCCGACCTCCCGCCCGACCTCCCCCCCCCCCCCCCCTGCCCTGGCCTACCCCCTTTGGAGGGAGATCTCCTGACCAAAGAAAACATGAACTTGGTAGCTCTGGATCTGACGTTGCAATCCCGAGTGGAACACTGCACAACTCCTCACCTTGCTGTAGAGGACGCAGTAGCTGGGTGACAGTCAGTGATATAGAGATTCTCCTGACCGGCCAGCTCAGGGTTGACACACGCGTAGATACTGGACGCTGCTCCCTGCTCCGGCGAGCGACTTATACCTAGATGTGGGGGCGGAGAGAGAGAGAGAGAGAGAGAGAGAGAGAGAGAGAGAGAGAGAGAGAGAGAGAGAGAGAGAGAGAGAGAGAGAGAGAGAGAGAGAGAGAGAGAGAGAGAGAGAGAGAGAGAGAGAGAGAGAGGGGCAGAGAGAGAGAGAGAGAGAGAGAGAGAGAGAGAGAGAGAGAGAGAGAGAGAGAGAGAGAGAGAGAGAGAGAGAGAGAGAGAGAGAGAGAGAGAGAGAGAGAGAGAGAGAGAGAGAGAGAGAGAGAGAGAGAGAGAGAGAGAGAGAGAGAGAGAGAGAGAGAGAGAGAGAGAGAGAGAGAGAGAGAGAGAGAGAGAGAGAGAGAGAGAGAGAGAGTTCTAACGAAAGGTGATAACGAAACGCACAGTGCTGCTGGAACATACTACAGATGGAAAACTTACATTCCGCAGATGAAGTAGAAGAAGAACATCCCGCACGCTCATCCTGTCGCTGAATGGCGCAAATAGCAATAACTCAGAAGTATTGACAAACTCGGCCATTTGAAAATAATCTGAACCGTCCACCTCTCCACACTGCGCTCTTGGCCCACATTCACAACAAAACACCATAGCGAGGAAGTTCGTTCTTGGGTAGATGTTCCATATCCTCTAGACAGCTGTTTCGCTCATTAACTTAAGAGCTCCTCAGTGGAGGTAGATAACGAATGAATAGCAGATAAAGGAATGGACTCGGATGGAGAGCCAAGGATTAATTTATAAAGGAAACAAAAAGACCGTATTGGCCAATGGCCGTGCCACAGGGGCGTGCTCGGCCCCCCCAACTAGGGGGGTGCACGGGAGCCGAGGGGAGCCCCCCCCGGCAATTTTCTGCAATTTGTTTGCAACCTTTCTTGAATTTTAGAGCATATTTGCATACATTACAATTGCAATTACCCAGTTTGAAAATTTTTTGGGGGGTGCACGTGCCCCCCGTGCCCATCGCCGAGCACGCGCCTGGTGCCAGTATCGTCATTGACATGCATGGACATCCGCCAACGTCCTTCACAGCTAACACTTTTAGCTCGTGCTAATCTTGGTTGCGCTCACCTTCCCCTCCTTATGTTATTTCTTTAACTTAGAACCTAACAAGTTGGAAGGCTGTAGGAGTGCGCATCCAAGATGTGCTATAGAGCTGTTAGCCAGTTAGTTGTAGAACGTCAGTACCGTCGGTCAGTGTCGTGCAATGTTATCGCATGAGCTGATTGTGTAGTAACTGGTGGTGTTAGTGGACATTTTAGCGTAACTTGTAGTTCCTTGCTCCTTTTTCTTTTCTACTTTCCGAAGTATAAATTTATCCTTGGCTCTCCATCCGAGTCCATTCCTTTATCTGCTATTCATTCGTTATCTACCTCCACTGAGGATCTCTTAATGAGCAAACAGCTGTCTGGAGGATATAGAACATCTACTAGTACCTAAGAACGAACTTCCTCGCTATGGACTGGTGTTGTGAATGTGGGCCAAGAGCGCATGCAGTGTGGTGAGGTGGACGGTTCAGAAGAGTGGAAAGCGACAGAAAATGAGAAAGTGGAGAAAGGAGGCATGTAAGCATGTATACAGGAGAGGCTGGAAGCTGTGTCGCAACTCTGAGTTTCACGTATTACTACGATCATCAGGCAACTGAGCAACTAAGCATGTATAAAAGTAAAGCCGTACCCAAATAGTAGCCCAGCTGTATCCCGAGGCCTATCCAGCCGCCGGCATTGAAGTTGGTGTGGACGGCACCAGGGTGGAGGCTAGTTGCGCTGATGTTGGTCCCACGCAATCGCTGGTGAAGCCACCCCGTCATCAGAATCTAACACACAATACAACAATCATACACGCACGTACACACACGCATGCACACATACATACGCATGCACACATACACACACACGCATGCGTGTTCAGGGGCGTAGCGGTCGGTCCGGCATTTAACACCTTTTTTACACAATGCCAAACGTGCCCAGAATGCAGGATTTTGCACCCTAATTTCAAAACTTTCCCGGAAGAGATCCCCCCCCCCCCTCCCTCCCCCAACCTTCTCCGGCCGGACTACCTCCAACAGCGGTGCTACGTGCCTGATGTTTCAGTTTATTAAACTACAGCGTCGTCACACACTCTTGTACTTGTACTTGTTGCTCATTGCCAAAACTGGTCATGTGGATCTCCCCAGGAAAGGGGAGAGAGACTCAAAAGGAATCTTGGAAAGATGACTCAATTGGCTATTGAACCGCCCAGCGGCCGACACTCCCTGAAATACCGAAAACTATGGGTGGACTTGAAAATGATCCCACTTATGGGCTCCCCACACCTCAGTAAGTGGGCGAGGACAAGGTGCAGAAAAATGATTGGCGGCATCAGGGTATCCGTCCTGGGATCCAACTGCAGTTACCCCTGCCCCCAATGAAGGTAATACTTGCTACTAGTGTGGGTGACTAAATCAGAGTGGATCTGATATAAGCTTCACTAGCACCATTGATTACACAAGAGTCAATCTAGGCAGAAGCAGTCCATGGTTAACAGGTATGTATACTTCAAATAGAAAGTATATGAACCCTGGAACCAACAAAGCCGGCAGGTACGACATTATACCTTCAAGCAGCTGAGCCCGTTGGCAACAGACCCAACACTATCTGGCATAAGTGTACCCACCAACCGAACTAGCTGGCACACACACACACGCACACACACACACACGCGCGTGCACACGCACGCACACACACACAGACCTTGACCTTGCCCGATGCGTAGCAATGATAGCAGACTACGATGCGAGTTAGGATGGTAGCATTACTAGCTGCATAGTAAAAATGACATTTAAAAAATGACATTGTGTGGACAATCAACATCTTGACAATAGAGTTACCTGGTACAGTTTGCTCGCACCGTATGTGACAGTTTGTGAATAGGCGGCGCGCACATTCGTCTCTGGTAGCATCATCTTGCCAAAGACTTGATGTCCGGATGATGATACGGAAACGATACGTGCATCAGGCCCGGAAGTCTTCATCAACGGAACGAGTTGAGTTACGAGAAGAAGATGACTTAGGTAATTGGACTGGGAATACAAACACACACACACGTATGCGCACACATACACACACACGTACACACACACACACACAAACACGTACACATGTACACACGCACACACACACACACACACACACACACACACACACACACACACACACACACACACACACAAAGCGATACACACAAAGCGATACACTCTTAATACGTCTATTATCTCTCTTATCCGGACCTCGAAGTTGAGGGCACCTCACTCCACCTCGTACCACGTGGGTGGGTTTTAGTGGAAATATTACAACTCCTGTACTAATTTTCATTGAAAATAGTGACGTCATATCGCAGATCTCTGGCCCTTCCCCATCAACATGTATGTGATTTAAAAGAGTTGCGGATATTTCCAAGTATTGGGTCCCAGACCGCCTGGGTAAGAGAGGCGTAAGTGTACGTGTGGACATCAAACAATAGCCATGCTCTGGAATCGTCCCACTTGTTTCCACAAGAGTTGAAAGTGCAATGAGTTTTTAAGTTTAGACCAATGCACCAGAATTCCAAATGTCAGTACAATTTTCAACTTCACCAGCTCATAACTTTGGTCTCCTTCGCTTGATTTTCACAATCTAGGTCTCGTTGGAAAGCTCTGGGCGAGAGCAATGCCAGGATACCAAGCTCCATTATACAGCCGACACAAACCAGGCGCGCTAACACAGCACAGTCGTCTCCAAACCAGATATGCAAGCAAATTCGTCCCATCAACGCCATTCCACTCTCCTTCACCGCAGACCGCTCAAATTTGTTTGAGACAATTCAAACTTCAGCCGACTACGTCAGTATTATGTGCTCAGTCGCTTAAAGAGCACACGAAAAGGGATTTTCCCCTAAAATGGCGAAGTGATCGATCAAAATTTTGAATTTGCCGAGGTAAGAATACGGCCGGCGTGCGATATCTCTGGCATCCGACATCATAACTCTTCGGCGATTGTTGCATTGGACAGCTTGGAGTTTCCGCTACCACGTAGACCCTTCGATTGTTGAATTTGCACAAGAAACGATGGAGTTACGAAGATACATTTTGTAGTAGAACATCTTGTGTGTACAATCTTGTGGCTAGTCCTGATTGTTGCAATTCGTGTTCGGATCATCCTTTTACTGTATTGTGCCGCGGTCGTCATGGTTATGGACTTCAGTTAAAAGTGCTGGAAGCTATCAATCAACATATTAAACTTCAACTCGGATAAAGAGCCAGTATTATTGTAAAATAGAAGAATTTTTTATATTTAAATAGGCTTTGCGCCTCGTAGAGACCCAACCGGGCCAGTTCTAGTGTTTGGTGAGGAATGTGTTTCTTTTTCACTCTACTTAAAATAGGTACGTTGAAGTAGTTTGGTGTGGTGTGACATCCACCAAAAACCATTCGCGTGCTGTTCTGCACGAATCCACATACTTCAGAATCAGAAGGCAACTTACCTGGAAAACAGCCTCTAATCTGTCCTCCGTCACCTCTGCAACACACACACACATACACACACACACACACACACACACACACACACACACACACACACACACACACACACACACACACACACACAAACACACACGCACACAACAGCCATAGTAAAACTTCGGTACGGAGTATTCTAGATACAATAAGAGGCACCCGATCTGAAAGAGATGGTTTATACTTTATGACTGTCAGACATAAACCAACAACCCCACACCAGAGCACGCTCTTTTCCACCGACTTGACTTGACACTTGACTCCGTTTCCAGCACAACAACAAACACCTCGTGAACACCAGATAGCACCGTGAGTCAGTGTCGCTACTGGATGGTACACACACACACACACACACACACACACACACACACACACACACACACACACACACACACACACACACACACACACACACACACACACACACACACACACACACACACACACACACACACACACACACACACACACACACACACACACACACACACACACACACACTCAGACTCAGACATGCCCATCGCGGAAGCGATGATAGCGAACAGCTATGTTAGACATAGCAACTTGTGCACACACACACACACACACACACACACACACACACACACGCACACGCACACACACACACATACCCCCCCCCCCCCACACACACAAGACGACACTCACCAAAATTGTCACCAATGTAGCCAGCATTACAGCACAGGATGTTCAGCTTGTCGTGCTCGCTTCGGAACTCCTCTGCAAACTCCACGGTCGAGCGCAGCGATGCAAGGTTTAAAATCATGATTTGCAAGTCCAGCTGGGAGTCGGGAAGCTCGGACTTCATGCGATCCATTGCCTGTATACAGCACATGACATATTATGACATAATGCTATTATCATTGTTGCAATGGTGACATACACAGTGTGACCTCAAAGACAATAGGGATCGAGAGCGATGGCGTCAGAAGTCGTTATAAGTCAAAGTCTAACGACAAATACCAACTTTTGGATTCACTCCGCCCATTGAGAAGCACGAGATGTGGTGGTTGGATGCCTCGTGTTGCACGTACATGTACATGTGATTTTTTCAGTACCAGGAGCAATCCCTGACAGGGAGGTCCCAGTCCAAGCACTGTCTGCCGATGTGTCACAATGCTGTGAATGAAAACCAAACAAACCGCCGTGTATGGATCCATGCAAAGACTGGACGGCCAAGTGAATCCCAAAAGTCGGTGGTGTCATTACAGGCTCCGTGCTGCATGGCTGTCGCACTGCCTGTGACATTTTTCAGCCCCTATACTGGAATGAGCAATGGTGCAGACTTCATTGAAAAAGAAAGCAAGAGAGCAAGAAAAACATTTCTTTGACCGTCGGAAAGCAGTAGCAGATTGGTGCGACAAGGGTCTGACCGTTCCTGCATTTGTATCGCGCTTGCTATTGACACACACCATCGTTGTTTGAAACTTGAAAGGTTGGTCTTAGCACTGGGCCAGCCTTTCAACCAACTGGTAAGACTAGTTCTGCATGGCCCGGGTTCTTGTCTCTCCATGGGATAAAACACGGCACCAGTCATGGTGACTCAGGCGCGTGCGCCGGTGCCCTTCAAGGGGGGTTTCCGGGGGACGTCCCCGGGAATATTTTCAAAAAATGAAGCAAAATCCTGCATTTTGAGCGAAAAAGGGGGGTTTCGGGCACCCAGGAACCCATACGGGGCACGCGCCTGGGTGTATACAAGATAAACATGGTGTACTGTAAGTCTGCAAATATTCGACCCATTCAAACTTCGGCCTCCCAGGTCTAAAACACACTTCGGCTGCAACGGATTTCCGACCTGTACTGCTGCTGCCTGTATACACTGTCACACTGAACCTTGCAGAACAAAATTTCGCCTGCAACACATTTTCGGCCAAATATGCGGTGCGCTAGCGATGCGCTAGCCAGTCACTCTGCATGCATGTACACAGTGCACATAAGCGGTTCCGCGGTTTTTTGTTGTTAGCACCCATAATCGGTTCCGGATGTGGCTAATGGGGTTGCTCGGCACTTGTGCCAGTGGTTGTATACGTTGTTGCTGTATACTTTATTTTAATAGTGGAAATCAAAACAGGCATGATGCCTAATAAGCAATAACAATGGACCAACGGTGTGGTTGTGAGACTTATCCACTCACCCCCACCGTTAGGCGCTGGACATGATGCCGCTAGGGTTTACCGGGTGTTAGCGGCCGTCGTGAGTTCCCTTCGGGAACGGACACGATAATTTACTTCTTTTTTTTACTACTTTTTATCGGTTCCGGAATTCTGCTGACTCATCATTATGACTTCTTTCGCATGCCGGTAGCATCTATCCTGGCTGACACATCATTTTAATTCTATGGTTTCCAAATATTAATTCCAAATCAATCCCGCGGATGCAGATATGCTGCAGTACTCTGCTACTCGGTGGTAGCGTGCCTGCACACAGCGCTGGCGGGGTATCTACCGTGATCTACTGTCTGTCCCTCTTACCTGCTCTGCTCTGCTCTGTGATCTGCAGGCCATGATGACCTTGGCCCCCATCCTGGCCAGGGCTTTCGTAGTCTCATAGCCTGTACCAGAGTTAGCACCGGTTACGATTGCAACACGACCACTCAGGTCCACTCTAGTGTACGACAAATTAGCGCCCATGACTCGATTTCTGGCGAGCTAGCGAGCAACAGCATCGGCAGAGGGAATTATGTCAGGCGCAACTACAGACTGTGCCTATTTATGGGGGCCTTTCCTGCTGATCTGACTTCCCCGTATGGTGGGACTGCAGCTGAGGCCGTGAGGGATTGCGGACCGTCTCACCGTTGCTTAATGCTTCATGCGTGACTTATTTCCGACTCAGCCTCCGACCTTCCAAAACTTACTTACTTGCAAAAGGCCAACCCTGTGGATTAATTTTTGTGACTGGTCTGGGGTCAACTAAAAAAATGAATGACAGCTAGCAGCGATGTTTTTCGTCGTTTGTCGCCTGCGGTGGTTGGTGGTAGATCTACTAGATTTACTGAGACTGATCTGAGTAGATCTACGAGTACTCATTTTTTTGTACTCTTCACACAATGATAGTACCGGTAGTATGTACATGCGTGGAGAAGGAGTAGAATCTGCACCGTTGCCGGAGTTGGACCGGCTAGCGCGTTTGCCTTTGGCAAACTTACTTTGGTGCTTGATTTTGTTGCTGCCGGCTCGTAGATCTACAAGTACCCATTATCCATATAAAAATCGCTCTGTGAGCGGTTCTGAAAAACCTTTACTGGTACTGCCCCGTCGTAAAAGTAAGAAATTAGAACTGGCCCATTGTCCCCCCAAATGCGAACTGATCCACCTAAATCGCGAATGACGGGACCCGAACGCACCAGTAGCACGAGGTCGGGAGGGCACAGGATCACGGCAATTATCATAGGGTATACCAGTATTAGTAGTAGAATTTATTATTTTGATAGGGAAGCCTACCGCTAGTACAGTACATACTACATGGCCTATGGTCCGGACCAACGTCCCCATCTGCATCCACAGGTAGGAACCTCGTGCTACTGGTGCGTTCGGGTCCCGTCATTCGCGATTTAGGTGGATCAGTTCGCATTTGGGGGGACAATGGGCCAGTTCTAATTTCTTACTTTTACGACGGGGCAGTACCAGTAAAGGTTTTTCAGAACCGCTCACAGAGCGATTTTTATATGGATAATTTCAGCTCTTTTTCCGTTCCCTCCCCACCCCAACCCCGAAGGTAAACAAATACATGATGACCACGCACGCAATGTACTGTATGTAGCCATGCGACTGCAATAACACACTGATACATACCAGCCCTCCCCGCCTCGCTACCCCGCACACAGATACACAAACATGTGTATGCACACGGCACACACACGTGGCCACGCACACATACGCACATGCACACGACACAAACAGGAAATTCTTCATGTATAATGCCATGCAAAGCAGTGGCCACCGTACTTGAGGAAGTCAGTTGTGAAACAAAAATAATTCAACTACAGCGTGTAGACAAGCTGACGGCCAAAGCACAACATAGCAAACATGACATTTGCCCAAGGATTGCAGTTTGCAGACCATGCCATGGAAGCAACGAATACAGAATGTAATATCATACAAAGTGACAAGCAAGGACGTGGCCATCATACACCAGAAACTTGCAGAAAGTCACATATCCAACAGATAGAGAAGTGAACAGCAATCTGATACAGCCCACACAGGACAAAGCGGACCTGATACTCGTCCCAGGATCGCAAGTGGCAAACCCTTTTCAATGCATAACATGCAGCACCAGGTGTACGTTAGACGCATGAACATCTGACCGTGTCGCCAGCATACAATGTCATCACATGTTTACCCCACAAGTTACGCACATGCACAGTAGAAGCACAATGAAAGCAATGGAAAAGTACGATGTGGTTGCTGAAGCATCTTCACACTTCAAATTCAGACTTCAATGTGGTCGTCACGGGATGATATACCTGCAAGATACAAGTGATGAAGAAAGAAAGCAGAAGGTCGTGAGGTAGGCTATGAGACACCACAAACGGTTCACCTACATGTCTGTTCAGGGCTAGTGCACTCACACGGAGAATTGTCATAATCGAGCATTTCCCAAACTGAGAAGTGCAATGAAATCCACTTGCATGCACAGGAGCAATTTTGCAATAATTATTATGATGCGCAATTCGACACGATCTGCGATGCTGCGTGCGATGTGCCCTGCTGTCATGATAGTGACAGTCACCGCGGTATGTTTTGTCAACGTCGCCCGTGCACTCTTCTGTCAAGTCCAAAGTGCTCACATACTTGGCAATGTTTTTGCAGTGATTAACTTTTATCCTAGTTATGTCACGGGTAACTTTAATGAAGTACCCGCAGGCCGTGTCGATCTGCACATCGTCCACTCTCTCATGTACTTGGCCTGCTTTGTCTGTGTATCCATTTCATGTGCGATCCACAAAATCGACTAGACAGTGGGTGCAATACGCTCTCTACCTGAAGACGTTCTTCTGGCGACATCTCGCCATGTACTTGGCCTGGCTTTGTCTGTGTATCCATTTCATGTTCGATCAACAAAATCTCAATGCACTACAGAGACTAGACAGTGGGTGCAATACGCTCTCTATCTGAAGACGTGAACCATTAAATTTTTTTTGGAAAAGTTATACGTACACCTGAAACGTAATGAAGTACAGGAATAGAGAGAGTGACTACAATACGCTCTCGACCTGATAATAGTGATAACGTGAGTACAAGACACTCTCCACCTGATAACGTGTTAGAAGGTAACATGTCTACAGTCCCACCGTACCCTTCCGACACGACTGTAGACCATTACATTTTTTTGAGAAGTTATACGTACACCTTAAACGTAATGAAGTACAGGAATAGAGAGAGTGACTACAATACGCTCTCGACCTGATAACGTGAGTACAAGACACTCTCCACCTGATAACGTGTTAGTAGAAGGTAACAGGTCTACAGTCCCACCGTACCCTTCATCATTCCTCATTCACCATCGCGCGATACCCTGGCACACACTGGCAACATATCAATCGGGTGCCTTACCGTCGTCTAGAGGAGACGTCTTCGCAGCAATATTTTCCCTCCTGCGCATTCAGTCGCCGACGCGACAGCGTTCACGGGGCCGTTCCAGTTGCGGAAGACATTCGATTCATCGGGCCAATTCAGAAACAGGGCCGTGGACACACAGGGGGCAGAGGAGAGACATTGTTAGTGGACAAGAAATATGCAGTGGCAAGTGGCGAGTGCCGCATGGATGTCAAGTTGTCATGCACAATTCAGCTATTACTTACGGTCCAGTTAGTCCTGCCATTGCTCGCTCGTCCTGGTTCCTCCTCGTTCGTCTTCCTGCACGTCTGCACTTCTCCTTCCCCACCGTTGGCTTTGCGGTACGGGGGTGCCGGAAGGAATTCCCACCATGTATCCATATGGCCATGTACATGAAGTCCCACCATGACTCTCCATGTACATGTCCACGGCCACGTCAGCAGTTTGTACAGTACCGGAAGGAGTTCCCACGATGCCTCCAAAGGCCTAGAGCGGACGTCTTTGCAGCAATTCTTTTCGCCCTGCGCATTCAGTTCGCCGACGATGTCTCCAAAGGCAAAGGCCTAGAGCCTAGTAGAGGGGACGTCTTTGCAGCAATTCTTTTCACCCTAGTACCCTGCACATTCACCCCGCCGACACGACAGCGTTTACGGGGCCGTTCCAGGTGCAAAAGGTCCACGTCAGCAGTTCTCAACTATTTCGCGTACGGGATAGTCGCCGCGACAGCGTTTAAGGGGTCGTTCCAGGTGCAAAAGGTATCCATCAATGGCACTTTGCAGTATGGGGTACGGAAAAGGGGCCTCCTCGTTCGACTTCGTCGACTTCTGCAGTTCTCCTTCCCGTCAGGGGTACCGAAAGGGGCCTCCTCGCAGTTGTCCTTGCCGTCAGGTCCACGTCATGCAGTTCTCAACTATTTCGCGTACGGGATAGTCGTCTTTGTCGTACGCGACATCGGCGTTTACCGGGTGGCATTGGCACAAAGCAGACCGTTGACGGGGTCACGTGTCAAAAAAGTATCAACAACGTGTCGACTATTTAAAGTGTCAACCACGTGTATAGCGGTACACTCAGCGGTACACTAATTCTCGTGCCATTCTCGTGTCACAAAACTGGAACATCGAGTACCAGTGCAGTATGGAAAGGCTTCAGACAGGAAGCCTTTCCAATGCAATGATGCATTGCAAGTACCGGTACGTACGCGGTATGTACATTTTTTTATAATCCGACGCCAATGAGGCGCCGGATCCGACCGCACCCCGCGAAAAGCGAAAATTGTAAAACCCATCTTTCATTCAAACCAAATCAAGGAAGGCTCAGTCACGAGTCAGTGGGTGGATATTTCTCCCAGATAAATTAATACTAGACAGTAATTGGATAGTACGATGAAGTCGTCCAAACGGCCTTGGTACTCCAGAAAGTCACCTGGTGCCTCATCATATGGTGGAAAGACCACGACCAGCTCTTCAAAGCAGACCCCGGAGAAAGGCGGACAGCAACAGGCCACGCTCTCCAAATTCTTCAACGTGAAGGTGAGCGGCATCCAGACGGGATTGGGACGTTGTGAATCCCAGCTAGCAGTACTGTATGCTTCTCGACCGTTCCTCTGTGATGAGTAGAGACTTGCTCGTAGGAAAAATGGTGTACATCCTGTAGCGTTCATGTCGTTTTCGTGACTGAAAATGATTCCGGGAAAATCAAGCATAATAATTTTCGTGAATTCGAACAGAAAATTTAATATATACCAATGCAGTACAGTTTGTACAACTAAGGCTGCGTTTACACGACAACGCACGGCCAGTTTTCCGTTTTCAGTCCCGCATTTCTTTTTTCGTTTTCGTGCGTTTACACGATCAAAGCTGATCCGAGGTGGTCTCCGTTTGTACAAGTATCGTTTTCGTGCGTCTACACGGGACGTGACGGGAGCAAAGGATCCGCAAAAGTTCGTCATGTGCCAAGTGTTGTCGTGGAAGCACCGATCACACTCAAGCAATAATAGACACTTTGCACAATAAGCGAGAGGGGTCGAGACGGGGCATGCTGTGCAGGCGCTGCACACTTGGCATGCAACCAGCATGCATGGTTTGCTGCAGGACGTGATCAAATTTCCTGTGACAGGCTGTGTTTTCACGGTCCCGACGCGATGTTCATGTATGTACTCCCCAGCCTTTTTTCATTTGAAGTTTTTTAGTTTAGAAGGAAGAAGTTTCGAAATGCTTTCCAAGGACCACTGCTGGGTTCTTGTTTGCACCAACCGTCATCCCTAACGTTAGTCTAAGGAACCCACTTGTCTTTCCATGCGTTCCCTGGTGATGCTGGCATTCCACACTCTGGAATCCTGGCTATCTGGCGAGAAGAGGGCCGCAGTGCATGCGATATCGTTCACAGTGTTGTGCTCGGAACACTTTGTCCATGACGACTTTCATCCTTGCTTTTGCTAAGATAATGAACGCCCTGCCAAGAGACTCTGGAGCTTGAGAAAAAGGCAAGACGCATCCCTGTCTTCGCTATTGGAAGATCGACTGCTTGCTGGCGCTGCTCGAGCTGCTGATGTTGAAGTGGAGAGAGACGCAGCCTCATCGCTCAGGTGTGCGGAGAAAGTCATCTGAGTTCGAGCTGTGGCTGCGTGCACGATATGACCGACTTTCACATTATGCACATAGCCACCAAAGTAAAACTCGTGGACACACGGGCTTGTTCACTAGTACTACTCCATCAGCTCCCTCTTCACTGTCGTCGGCGACTTGCCCCTGCGTTGGAGACGAGCACGCATGGTGTGGCACTCACTCTGGGAAACAGAGGTTCATCACTCATCCACTGGGAGTCGGACGCATGAAATGTTGGGCATGATGAAGGTACACTCGAGGAAGTGGTGCCCTTCTTAGTTCTAGGAGCATCAGGGTTCTGCATAGAGAAGTGTTCTCTACATCGACAGAGGAGAGAAGGTAGAGAAACGAAAAATATTTCAATCTACAGTAATCCGAAATATCCACTGAATGCGGAAAACTTACCGCTCCAACGACTCCTTCTTTTTCCAGACAGATACGCACCCTCATTCAGCAGAAAACTGTTCAGTTCCTTCACAGACCATTCTTTATTTGACAGTTCGTCCACGGGTTCCACAGCCATCGATGGCAAACCACTCGACACTCTCCCCTCCATCTCCAAAATGGAAAAATACATTGTTCCACCATGCTCAACAACTGATACTCTGCACAAAAATCGAAGAGGATGCCCCGTCTCGGATCACGTGACCGTTATTGTGCAAAGGGTCTATTGAGAACAGGCCACAAAACAATACTCGTCACATGATGAAAATTATAAAAACAATTTTTTGGATTGTCGGATCCGTGTAAACGGCCGAAAACGAAACACACGTGCCGGAAACGAGGCTAGCATACCGTTTCGACTATTTACAAACCCAAATTTATCCGGCAGAACATTTCCGTTTTCAAATTCTTCCACCTTGGCCAGCGTTTTGGTTTTCTTCCGTTTTGGTGTACAACTTTTACGTTTTGCTCTTTGTACCGTGTAAATGAACCATGCATCCGAAAGGATTTTCTTGCGTTTTCACCCCCAGCGTTGTCGTGTAAACGCAGCCTAAATCCATGCTTCGATTCGGCCGAGTGAATGAGGTCGCGTTCAGGCGTGCTCTGGCTCAGATGAGTATGTAACTCCTAAACTAACTGCACTGGTTGTGCATGTCAGCAGATGTGCAACAGAAAGCCGTAGAGGAAACACGTGCTTGTGCGTCTTGTACATATCCATGTCATCATGTGTGTGTGTGTGTGTGTGTGTGTGTGTGTGTGTGTGTGTGTGTGTGTGTGTGTGTGTGTGTGTGTGTGCATGTGTGCGTGGGTGCGTGCGTGGGTGCATGCGTGCATGCATGCGTGTGCGTGTGTGTGTGTGTGTATGTGTGTGCACGTGGGAATGCAACCCTTCCTCTTTCTCGACAGCCTCCGTCAACACCGGTGGCGGCAACAGCAGCAGCAAAAACATCAGCTGTTCAAGTATATGTAGTGTATGATGGTGGTGGTAGTCATGACAACAGCAGCAATGGCAGTCATCCTGTTGCAGGTAGGAAGTGTACATGTATACATGCATGTGTGCATCTATAGACAGCAGTACTAACTACAGGAGAATAGCGTTTGTCTTTGAGACGCACATTGTTCAGACAGTAGAGAGGTTCCACGTAACGTAATTACATTAGTAAAAAACGTAGTCGATCTACGGAACGTCTTACGTAAACTGCATGCGCATCTGTGTTCCGCCATACAGAGTTTTCAAATCACGTAGCTGCCCTTGGCAACTCCGAACGCAGCAGTGTACGACCAGATCGACCTGGGGAGGGAGTCATAAGTTTGTGCCCCAATCCACTTACGGACCAGCTACGTTATCACAGCCCTATCTACGTACTCTATGTAGACAACTTTCCGTAAGTGGAGTGCAAACTCGCGATTTCACGGTTTTTTCCTGCCCACTAACGTAGTGCGGAACCTCTCTAATGTTGAGATATTGTTCAGAAGGTTGGTTGGGGATTGGCTGTATATTGTAGCATGCGCGTAGCGTGTATCTTGCTGTATCTTGTAGCACATGCATCTACATGTGCTACAAGATACAGTATAGTAGCTGAAAAATGTACTTACCTTCTGCGTACGTGTGTGTGTGCGTGCATGTGTGTGTGTGTGTGTGTGTGTGTGTGTGTGTGTGTGTATGTGTGTGTGTGTATGTGTATGTGTGTGTGTGTGTGTGTGTGTGTGCACGCGTACGTATGTGTACTTGAATGCTCATGTCCACGCGCATGCACTCGTCATTTAGCATCTGCAGAGCTTGCACCTGCCACGCTGACTCGCCTGCAGCGTTTCCAGCAGTGCATGCCATTGCAAAGCGGCGCATCGTCCACCACATCGGCATCCTCCTCCAGCTCCAGTTCCAGCCGTGCTTGCCAGCAGGCCGCATGTGCTAAAGGCTCAAGCCTACGGCTGTCTGGTTCACTGGAGGCTGGCGCGAGTGACGGCAGAGCTGATGATGTAGTGGAGAGCCCTACCCGTGCTGCTGCTGCTGCTGCTGCTGCTGCTGCTGCTGCTGCTACGACTGTTACCGGTACCTGTACTGGTGGCGATGAAGATGGTGATGATGATGATGACCTGGTGTTGGTGAGCTCGACCACGCCGCGAAGTCGATCGCAGCCAGTGGCTTCTCCTCCGGCCAAGCGTGTGCGGCGGCCAGCTTCATCTGCATCGTCGTCGTCGTCAACGTCGGATATCAAAGGTGGGAGCGATACGCGTGTCAAGCGTGTGTGTGTGTGTGTGTGTGTGTGTGTGTGTGTGTGTGTGTGTGTGTGTGTGTGTGTACAGGACAGTCTATGGCCAAAGAACTGGGAGGGGGTCAGCCTCCTAGCCTAGACCGTTCTTATTTTCATGTATTACAGTCTATGCACTGTTGGGTCACCGTATATACATTGGTATGCTGTGCTTGGTGAAATTCTAGCCTGGTCGTTCTTCAGTGCCCGGCGGTACTGTATGCATGCACCCAATTCCCAATCTCCTAGTTTGGGATGCAGGAGTTACAACTCAATGTGTTGTGTACTAGAACGTCGGGCTGTGTTCTATCACGCGCACACATTAATTTAGAAACCTGGCCAGATTATGTAAAACCTGGCCAAAAAGCAAATTCCTTTGTGCTTGGCTTTTCCGCTCTTGAATGTACTCGTATGCAGGGAACTTCACTCTGGTCTTCAAGGAAGAATGTGTAATTGTTGAATGTTTCTATCAGTTTACGTGTATGCGCATACTCATCTCTCCTGTTGGTGTTTTTGTGTTTGTTTGTTGGCAGCTTCCATTGTCGCATTTTCGTCCCCCGCCAGTCACGTTTCCACGCCGGTGTCTTCAAGGACGCTATTGTCTCCGTCCTCGGTATCATCACGGCTGACCTCTTCGCCATCGTCCAGCAGCTGTGCTAAGGGTTCGCCGTACACACCGCTTGAGAAGCAGTACATGGCGATACGCGACGCGAACCCCGGCGTACTGCTCATGGTCGAGTGCGGGTACAAGTTCCGCTTCTTTGGCGAGGATGCCGAGGTAGGGTGCTCGTCGGCGAGCGTTTCTACGTGTGTGAGCATGCCATGTGCTACAGTAAGAGATGAAGAAACAGGCAGACAGAGACAGATGGACAGACAGACAGAGATGGACAGACAGACAGACAGACAGACAGACAGACAGACAGACAGACAGACAGACAGACAGACAGACAGACAGACAGACAGACAGACAGACAGAGAGAGAGAGAGAGAGAGAGAGAGAGAGAGAGAGAGAGAGAGAGAGAGAGAGAGAGAGAGAGAGAGAGAGAGAGAGAGAGAGAGAGGGAGGGAGGGAGGGAGGGAGGGAGAGAGAGAGAGAGAGAGAGAGAGAGAGAGAGAGAGAGAGAGAGAGAGAGAGAGAGAGAGAGAGAGAGAGAGAGAGAGAGAGAGAGAGAGAGAGAGAGAAAGGGGGGGGGGAGAGATGAGAGAAAGAGGGATAAATGAGAGAAAGAGAGAGACAAAGAGAGATGGTTGGTTGGTTGGTTGGTTGGATTTATTTAAAGTCGTACAACAAACAGGCATATCTGCCTCCTTATATGAAGACGACATCTGGCAGTAAAACATTTTAAAGAAAAGAGAAAGGAAAAAAAAGAAGAAGAGAAGATCAAGAATGTATACTGAGCATACAGCTAGCCGGAGACTGAGCACAGCTAGCCTCGGCATGTATCAGAGCATCAGGATTACTACATACTACTAGTACTATACTCAAGATAGGGGAGGGGGGTTGCTGTCATGCTACAGTAAGACAATACGCGTGCAACACACCCTTGAACTGGAGGGGGGACGTGATGTTTCTCGCATCAGGTGGAAGACTGTTCCGAACGCGTGCAGCAGAAAGAGACACGGGATGAGTTCTGGATGGAAGCTGCAGCAGATGTTATTGGGAGCCGCGCGTTTGGCCAGCCCTAGTCGGAGTGACGAAATCTCCAAATAATGCGCTGATCAGCGGCTGCTCCATGGTGGAATGTAGGCACCGGTAGACCAGCGAGCACACTGTCTCACGCAAGAGCTGGTGTACACGAAGCAGGTTGTGTTCCGCATACACGGGAGTCATACGGGTACGGGAGGTAAGGTTGTACACGGCTCGCAGGGCTAGGTTGCATAGGCGTTGAAGTCTCTCTTGATGAGATAAGATGAGAAGCCCAAGAAACGAACAAGGCAGTCGTGGCTGTGAGGGCCGGGGAACGTTTCGCCCTATATTGATGCTTAGATTCTTTCTGTCTTAGAAGTTGTTGTCTTATTACTATTCTGCTGGTTTGGGTGCAATGTTGCTTTCTCACCTAGAGGGTGTATATTTAGCTGCTGCAGTTTCACTGGAAAAGATCGGTTTGTGAATTGGTATGATAGTTCGTGGGAATCCAGTTCCATCTCTGTGTGATATGTTTAGTTGTCCTTGCCCATCTGGCTGGCCGCGTTGTGATCCCTCTACAAAAGGTTGCGTGGCTTGTCTATCTACCATTTTTTTCATCTGTCTGTGTGTGTGTGTGTGTGTGTCTCTCTCTCTCTCTCTCTCTCTCTCTCTCTCTCTCTCTCTCTCTCTCTCTCTCTCTCTCTCTCTCTCTCTCTCTCTCTCTCTCTCTCTCTCTCTCTCTCTCTCTCTCTCTCTCTCTCTCTCTCTCTCTCTCTCTCTCTCTCTCTCTCTCTCTCTCTCTCTCTCTCTCTCTCTCTCTGTGTCTGTCCGTCTGTTTGTGCGTATGGTATTTGTCTGCTGCACTGCTTTCAAGTTTGTGTGTTTGTGTCAAGTTTCACCTATCCTTCCGCCTGTCTGTGACATCTGCTATTGCTATCGGCATGCAGGTTGCAGCTCGTGTTCTCAACATCTTCTGCCACCCGATGCACAACTTCATGAACGCCAGCATACCCGTGCAGCGGCTGCCTGTTCACGTGCGTAGGTACGGTTAGAACTGCTGTGCTCGCTTGTCTCTCATCGTCTTTGGCGTGTAGGCCCGGCGGAACCGGTCCGGTTGGCCGGGCCATGCCTGGACCAACGTTTTGGTCAGGCCATGGCTGGACCAACGTTTTGGTCAGGCCATGGTTGGACCAACGTTTTGGTCAGGCCATGGCTGGACCAACGTTTTGGTCAGGCCATGGTTGGACCAGCGTTTTGGTCAGGCCATGGTTGGACCAGCGTTTTGCCCACCAACATGTGTTTACTGCTGAGGAGGTCATGTGACTACCCTCCATATCATACACAAACTGTATGAAAGTCATGTGACTACCCTCCATATCATACACAAACTGTATGAAAGTCATGTGACTACCCTCCATATCATACACAAACTGTATGAAAGTCATGTGTATACCCTCCATATCATACACAAACTGTATGAAGGTCATGTGACTACCCTCCATATCATACACAAACTGTATGAAAGTCATGTGTATACCCTCCATATCATACACAAACTGTATGAAGGTCATGTGACTACCCTCCATATCATACACAAACTGTATGAAAGTCATGTGTATACCCAGAGGTCTAGCCAGGATTTTATGCCAGCCGGCCAACGTTCTAGTTAAAATGCATCGTTCTGGGGGCTGCGCCCCCAGACCCCCGCCATCAGTCACGTATCCACACAGACACACACACACCACTACAAATCTTTCATTGCAGCTTGCATCTCCTTTCGCTTCGTCCAATTATGGGCATTCATCAGGCAGTTGTGAAAATGTGATTATAGGTAAATAATTAACAAAATATGAAAAAGGAAGCAAACAGCTACATGAGCATGGATCATGTGTTCACCAACGTCATGTCTGCATGCAGTGTACATTGGTCATCTGACAAGACCCAGCCTAGCCACAGCCTGTACACCACCAGAAGCAGCGAACCATGACCCAACCTGTTACATTTTACTGACGTACTCAAGTGCATACTCAAGTGCATTTGAGCTTGATCTCTAGTGAAGAGCTAGCACTGAGCCTGAGTAGCCAGTGCTACGTACTGTACTGTACATACCTACGCCTAGGATATGGGTTGTACTCCACCATCTCCACTCAAGTGCTAGTGCAGTGCACTACAGTCTACATGGGGGTGACTGCATGCAGCTTTGGCTAGATCACTGATACCCTCCATATCATACACAAACTGTATGAAGGTCATGTGACTACCCTCCATATCATACACAAACTGTATGAAAGTCATGTGTATACCCTCCATATCATACACAAACTGAATGAAAGTCATGTGTATACCCTCCATATCATACACAAACTGTATGAAAGTCATGTGACTACCCTCCATATCACATACACAAACTGTATGAAAGTCATGTGTATACCCTCCATATCATACACAAACTGTATGAAAGTCATGTGTATACCCTCCATATCATACACAAACTGTATGAAAGTCATGTGTATACCCCGCTACATATCATACACAAACTGTATGAAAGTCATGTGTATACCCCGCTACATATCATACACAAACTGTATGAAAGTCATGTGTATACCCTCCATATCATACACAAACTGTATGAAAGTCATGTGACTACCCTCCATATCATACACAAACTGTATGAAAGACTAGGGTATGGTCGGATCAATCAAAAACTGCTTGCGCCGGTCCTCTGGTGTCAATAACCGTGCACGCATGTTTGTTTCTTTAGCTGTATTTACTTCACCACAAGCACATGCTGTATCTGCCTTCTCACTGAGCGTATTGCCACAGTTCTCGCAAGAATAATGAACTGTGTGTGTGTGTGTGTGTGTATGTGTGTTTGTATGCCTGTCTTGTTCAGGCTGGTAATGGCAGGTTACAAGGTGTGTGTATGTTTGTTTGTATGCCTGTCTTGTTCAGGCTGGTAATGGCAGGTTACAAGGTGGGTGTAGTGCGGCAGGTGGAGAGCGCGGCACACAAGGCACTCAGTGACAAGAAGGGCGCGCCGTTTGAGAGGAGTCTGAGCGAGCTGTACACGCGAGCAACGCTTATCGGTGAAGATATCCTTCTTGTCCTGCTCTTCCCCCCTCCCACCCCGTCCCCGCGTCTCGGTCACACTCTTACCCTTTTGTGTACTGTGCCCTTCCTCATTCTCATTGCATGAACATCGTAACACAGTTTGTTTGCACTGGCGTCCATGTACTGTTCTGCCAACAAATACTACTCTTGTCTTGAGCCATACATGAGCAACTTCAAAACTTCAATAGCGTGTTCTTGTGGAGTTATCTTGCAGACAAAACAAAGAACAGAAATCAATGAGTAGCAGTGGTGAGGCTTCCTGCAGCTTCATTTATAGGAGGTAGTAGTTTAGAGCTGACTCTCTCTTTCCCATTCACTTTCCCATTCACTTTCCCATTCAGTCTGCAATAGCACCGGACTCGCTTTTGTCAATTCTGACGTTTCGGCAAATTTGATGCCCCCCGCCCCGCCAGTTCTTCTACGACCCGCAGTACTGTACCCCATCAGTCTCCTTTTTGGAATCTTGCTAGAGACCTGTGAGTAAGATTAGGTGTGCCGTCAGTAGTGACTCATCACGAAACACAAGGACGTCCAGTGCAAAGCAACCGTAACTTTTTCTCGTGACAATCATAGCCTTGATGGAATTACTGTCTCCACGTTGCTTGTTTGTTCGTTGACTTTCTCATGATCCTTGTCCATTTCTAGTAGATCTACTCCTTGACCAGTATCCTCCCAGTACAGTTTGACTCGCCGTTACCCACTCAAACTTACAACAAGAACACGACAATGGCAGTGTCACCGCGATCAGCAGGAGCAGCAGCATCGTCGTCATCGCTAGACCGCTACGCTGCTTCGCATGATGGCGGTTCCGGCAGTGAACACAATGTCATCGGTGCTGGTGATGATGTCACCAGTGCTGCTGGCGGCGACGGTGGTCACATGGTGCGCGATGGCTTCGGCGTCAGAGCTGCTGATGGCCAGGCATCGGCTGCTGAGGCATGGTCGAGTACGACCGATAGCTTCATGTTGTTCATCGTCGATGCTGCCAGAGAGGGATCTAAATGCGGAGGTGTCTACAACATCCCGTGACCACCACCACAGCAGCAGCAGCAGCGGCGGCAAGAGGCTTCTGCAGAGCACGTGGCAGTTGTAGTAAGTATCATAATAAGTTTTGAATGCTATCATATTTTCTGCAGTATAAGCCGTACGTACTCGTAGTGTTCTGGGTGGTCTCCTACGTTTCTCGTTGTAGCTTTCTCCAGTGCCGTCGTGTACTGCAGCGGTTGAGTTTTTGTTTACTTGTTTAGGAAGCCTCCCCACTTTTACTTTGTTTAGGGTCGTTTCTATATACAGTGTACAGTGAGTCTATTATGCCTTTGTGTGTGGCCTATGTCTTTTTGCCTTTCTGTACTCTGTCTGGTATGTGTGGTTATGTTTTGTTGGTCTCTCTCTCTCTCTCACTCTCCTCTCTCTCTCTCTCTCTCTCTCTCTCTCTCTCTCTCTCTCTCTCTCTCTCTCTCTCTCTCTCTCTCTCTCTCTCTCTCTCTCTCTCTCTCTCTCTCTCTCTCTCTCTCTCTCTCTCTCCTCCACCACCCTAGCCGTACAACCAGCGACGGGTGATCTTGTCTACTCAGTGTTTGCAGACGATACGTCGCGCACTCAGCTGCTCACACACCTTGCTCACATCGTCCCCTGCGAGCTCATCATTCCTGCAGACCTCGGTGCAAGGAGTAGAGCTGCCATCGCATCTTATTGCAGCAACAGGTACCTATAGTATACACATCATGTACTGGTAATACGTATTAATACGCCCCCAGGGTTCTAGCAAGGTCAAAATAAGTAGAGGTGAGGGGCAGGGGAAGCGGTTACCCTGTAACGCAGTTTTCCATTTTCCAAATTTGTCTTGCCATATAAAAGGCAACGTACGGGCCGAACCCCTGATTTCTCCCCAGACTAAATGTGCCTTTGTGAATCCTCTAGTAATGGCTGTTGACTGTATTTTCGTTGAATGGCATGAGCAAACATGAACATCGACAAATCAGTGGTGGTGGGGAGGGGGGGGGGGGGGGGGGTGGGGGTGGCACTTTTTCACTGGGGGCACTCAATCAGAGTAGGAGGGCGCTGCGCCCCCTTTGTCTATAACCCTGGGCCCCCTTCGGTTGGTGATAATTCCTCCCCAGTAGTGGAAACTGCTAATTTTGTTTTGCGAAAGGAGTGATTCTGCTGAAGTTGAGTTGTGCCAATCGAAAGTTTGCATTCTGTGTGGTATGCGGAATACATGTTCATGTTTTCTGGATACCCAAGTTATGGGCACTTCGGTCTTCCAGCCATTTTTTGGGCGAGTGGAAATATTACTACTCCTTTGTTACTCTCTCTCTCTCTCTCTCTCTCATCTGTGATGTATTTCCTGAACCACTAGCTAGCTGGGTGTTCTGCACTCTTGATGTTCGGAATGTCCTCAGCATTTTATTGTGTCTCCCATATGGTCTAGTGGTTAGGATTCGGCGCTCTCACCGCCGCGGCCCGGGTTCGATTCCCGGTGTGGGAACACTTCTTTTTTTAATGATCTTTTGCATTATGTCAGGAAGGTGGATATTGAAAAAGACATTTACAAGCAGCAATGTAAAGCCGAGACTCATTCACAGTGCCACTTTTTGCGACGCGACATGCGCCATAATTATATACAACACTGGCGGCAAGAAAATGCCTGCCGCGTACTGTCGCAAGGCCACAAGTGGACCAAAGTGCGACTTTTGCGAAATTCATCATCGCAAGTCGCATATCACATCACAGAAAGCGGTATTCTGAATGGGCCTTTAGGTGTTATTCAAGGAGTCCTGCAAGAGGAAGAGTTTTTACGGTGTTTTCTTGAATTTTCTTGGAAAAGATCGTGATTCTGCTAAAATTTGGAGAGGTGTTCCGCTAATATCCTTTGTGAACTTTAGGAGATTCTCCGAAATTCTCCAAGATCCCCGACCTTGAAAGGTGGTTGAAAGATTCCCGTATTTTGGGTCAGCGCGTGCAAACTACTGCAAGATCACGGCCTCTTCGGCGCTTCTCATATGCGGAAAATCTTTGACACCTGCTCCTAAATTATTCCAATTTCTTCGACTTCCAGGACATAATTTCTCCGAGAAGCGAGAGAACATTCGACCGCACTCTTTCAGTACATGGAGGGCGAAGAAAAGGTCGAATTATTAACTCCCGAGGCTGCAGAATGTAAACAAGTTGCTGGAGTTGAATTGTATGTATGATGTTAAGCGCCGGGTGTTCAGGTTGAGTGCAATGGCGCTACGGCTATGCCTTTGGGAAATCCTTTTAAAAATAATAAATACAATACAGTTTCCTCTGAGACAAAAATGCGATAATACTCATAAAAAGGACACACTTCAGGCTCATTACAAACATCTTGAAAGTATACTTGTGAAGACAAAAACTTTCAAGATGTTTGTAATGAGCCTGAAGTGTGTCCTTTTTATGAGTATTATCACAATACAATACAATACATCATTAAGTACGGCATAACACGTTATTTTTGGTGTAATTTTAATTTCTGGAGGAAAGCCATTCACCTAAATTTACATTACACCTAAAAGGCGCTAGAGTACACACTACATGTGCAGGGCAGGTTGGTCACCTACCACTAGAGTACACATTACATGCAGTGAAGGGTAGGCTGGTCACCTACCACTAGAGTACACATTACATGTGAAGGGTAGGCTGGTCACCTACCACTAGAGTACACATTACATGCAGTGAAGGGCAGGCTGGTCACCTACCACTAGAGAACACATTACATGCAGTGAAGGGTAGGCTGGTCACCTACCACTAGAGTACACATTACATGCAGTGAAGGGTAGGCTGGTCACCTACCACTAGAGTACACATTACATGCAGTGAAGGGTAGGCTGGTCACCTACCACTAGAGTACACATTACATGCAGTGAAGGGTAGGCTGGTCACCTACCACTAGAGTACACATTACATGCAGTGAAGGGTAGGCTGGTCACCTACCACTAGAGTACACATTACATGCAGTGAAGGGTAGGCTGGTCACCTACCACTAGAGTACACATTACATGCAGTGAAGGGTAGGCTGGTCACCTACCACTAGAGTACACATTACATGCAGTGCAGGGCAGGCTGGTCACCTACCACTAGAGTACACATTACATGCAGTGAAGGGTAGGCTGGTCACCTACCACTAGAGTACACATTACATGCAGTGAAGGGTAGGCATAGCCCGATTTTGCTAGCAATTCTGCTAGCAAAATATCGAAGAATTTTGAAAGGGAATTTGCTGGCAAAATGGAGCAAAATATCGGTGTGGTCGCTGGAAGTTGGGAGATTTTACACTTATACGGTGCACGTGACTCATTTTCGCACAGTTTTACCAACACGTGACTCGCTTTTTCTTTTTTTGCCAACACGTGACCCACTTTCGGTCAGTTTTCCCCTCACGTGACACAAATTTTGGAGCAAAAAGGGAGCAAAATATCGAGTGGCCTGGCAGAATGAAAGCAAAATATCGACAATCAGCCAGCAAAATTTTGCGGCAAAATATCGAAGCTTCCCTGGCAAAATCGGGCTTTGCCTAGTGAAGGGTAGGCTGGTCACCTACCACTAGAGTACACATTACAAGCAGTGAAGGGTAGGCTGGTCACCTACCACTAGAGTACACATTACATGCAGTGAAGGGTAGGCTGGTCACCTACCACTAGAGTACACATTACATGCAGTGAAGGGTAGGCTGGTCACCTACCGGTAATTCTACATTACACCTGAAACCTGGCCGGCCCCCGACACGGAAACTTTAAGACGCCTAAAAAATTATATGTGAGACAGTACATGAAGTGCATGTGTTGGATGCCGGGCAAGCATTCTCGTTGTTTAGACGTACGGTCAGACCTCGCTTTTCCGGTCCTCTTTTATCCGGATCCCTCGCCATTCGGAGGAAAATCGTTAGTTACCGATTTACAGCATATGCGATGCATGCATACAGTATGTGTGTTTGATAATCCGGTTCCCTCGCCTATCCGGATATTTTCGTGGAAAACGGATGTGTGCGGTTATGTGAAGGCTGACTGTATTGCTATCTTCTCTTTGTACATATGTTGACATGCAGGAAGTCTCAGGGCGATCTTGTTCGTCTGGAGGAGGTGCCGACGGGGTGGAACGATTACGGCACCTCGCATGGCTGCCTTGCGGACTTCTATCAGCTGTCGGTCATCTCGTCGTCGGTAGATCAGCTTAGCGATGGAGAGAGTAGTAGCGATGAGGACAACGATGACGGAGATGTTACTGGTGAGGCCACCACCAGTGGAGTGGGGCTGCACCAGCATTCGCAGCATCGGCACGGCCATCCCTCAGCTCGTCAGCAT